CAGTCTGCAAAGTGATGTTCAGACTTTACTTGTTTCACCCTTAAAAAAGAATGAAGTTCACAAAAAATCCATTTGTGTAGTTTTTAACTATTTTGGAAATATTGTAGAAACTAATTAAGTTAAAACTTTAATAGAAAAAAAAAACACAAGAAAATATACCAAGGAAATTCAGGAAAAAATCAATAGAGTTATTTTTTTGGGGGAAAATCAATAAAAAAAAAGCAAAAAGTTTTAAATGGTGGGGAAAGGTTTGGATAAAGTTATACAATTGGTCTACAGTTTGATCTTCAAACAAAGACTTTAATACTGTACATACATTTGTACCTTATAATAATAAGGAGATCTGGTATGATTACCAATGAGACAACTATCCACCAAAGTTCAAATAAAGTAAAGTGGATGTAAGCAATTATAGGCATCTGTACGGGCTTTAACAATGAGGAAAACCCATACCGTATTATAGTCGGCTATAAAAGGCATCCACATGAAAAATATGAAACAATTCAATTGAGAAAACTAACGACCTAATTTATAACCAAACAATTTCAGAAAAACAAATATGACAGACATGAACCAACAACAACAACTGAACTACATGCTCCTGACTAATGGGACGCACATAAAGAATGTGGCGGGGTTAAATATGTTTGTGAACGCTCAACCCTCCCCTTATAGTCCCCTATCATGTGGAAAACATGAAGAAAGGTGATATATTGAAATAAATCTCCTCTATTTTACCTTATAGAATCAATAGGTTCTGATTGATTGCTAAATAATTTAACAGGTATCTTTTTGATGTAGAGATATATTTTACACAATCAATTAGGTGACATGTTAAGAACAAAGCCTATAGAATATTCCCAGTGGCAGGGTTTTGTCCAGAATTATTAAGAAATAAGGACCTGACATGATATTTTACATGAATAAAGCAATAGATATTTATCTCCAAGTTTCTTATAAATTATTGTATTTTATTTGACCGATTTGTAAGATTGAATAAATATTACTTGAAAACAATTAAAAAATATTAGAGCATAAGGTAATAGACTAGAGTTTTTTCCCATAAAGACAAATAAAAAACATTGATGTTTTCCTGTATTTTTTTAATGGTGCCTACCTTGAATTTTTTTTTTGACAATTTTCATTACGGTTTAAATTCCAAGATTTATGTTATTTTATGATTTGTAATAAAATAAAAAAGATTTGAAAAATTGCAGACCTACAGTTCCTTATTTTGATCGTTCTGCAAGAGGAAAGTTTTTTAATTGTTTAAAAGAAAACCCCAGTCTATATATAGCAACTAAGTTTCATATATTCCTACTGTACATAGACAATAGAAATGAGAAGATGTGGTATGATTTCAATGAGACAACAAATAAGAAGAAACCAAAGAACTGGGATGTAAACAAGTATAGGTCACCATATGACCTTCAATAATGTGTTTATATAAAAATAAGAAGATGTGGTATAATTGCCAACGAGACAACTCTCCACAGGAGACCAAATGACACAGAAATTAACAACTATTACATGTTTTGTGTTTCATCTCACTATTTTTTATGCCCCACTTAGGGGCATTATTGTTTTCGGTCTGTACGTCCATTTATCCGTCCATTCATCTGTCCCACTTCAGGTTCAAGTTTTTGGTCAAGGTAGTTTTTGATGAAGTTGAAGTCCAATCAACTTGAAACTTAGTACACATGTTCCCTATGATATGATCTTTCTAATTTTAATGCAAAATTAGAGTTTTGACCCCAATTTCACGGTCCACTGAACATAGAAAATGATAGTGCGAGTGGGGCATCCGTGTTCTATGGACCCATTCTTGTTTCAAGAAATTTTTTGGCACCTGCACAATATGAAAGTATCTGATTTTTATTTTAGAAGTTTAAAAATGTCATTCAAGCATCATACATGAATTATGTTTCTATAGCTTTAAATTTTTCCTTCAAATAATTAATGGCTGTTTGTTTAATATCTAGTGGCAACGTTTCATACATATTCAGTAGGAGCACAGAATACATAAACCAAGAATTAGAATTTTTAGTGTGCAAAGAGTTTTTAGTCCAAAGCTTGAAAGCCAAGTAGACACCCTCTTACCATAGATATTACTCTGATCTTGTTAGATTTTGTAAACTTCTTTTTAGATTACTTCAGGAAGGCACTTTCTTATCAGGACAGTCTGTCTGTCTATTAAATTGCTCCCTTGAAGTTTTATATTTCTTATTTTAATTCAAGAAGTATATATTTAAGATTCTGAAAATTGGTGGGTCACTGTGATCCTCATTTGAAGGTCATGTTCAACATTTGCCTTTTGAAATAAAGTGTTTTGTTTAAATGAAAACTTTCCTTCATCTCTAACCCTTTGTACATTAACCTTTAAGAGTTGTCTTATTGTCAGTCATTGTATCATTGCTGTCAGTTTTATTGTGTGGTAATATGTTAAGTTGTATTAAACCCTATAACAGGTGAAAATGAAATAATTTTTTACATGGCAAGATCCAATTTTATTTACAAGTCCTGTGCTTGTGTCAATGAGTGGAGTTGACAAAACTTTTATGTTAAAACAATAAATTTAATAGAAGTCCTAATTGGTCCCATTTAAATTTTGGATGCCCAGTGTTGTGATCTTTAGTCAAGGATATTATTTGTTCTAAATTCAGAGGACCTTCAAACTATTTTTTTTATTTGCAACATTACAATTTGGTCTTCTTGAATCTAGATCTTCTGAAAACTTGGATGCTGTAAAATGGCAATTCCTATGCAAAATCAATACATTTGTAGATTATGATTTTGTCTTTGAATTATCTTCTCATTACTCTGAAACACAAACAAACTTTTAGTAAGTTTCATACCTAAAAGTTCTTACTAAGGTATAAAAGTCACAAATAACATGTATGATGGGGCCAAGAAGGTACATTTTCAAGCCACTAAATCACAACCTGTCACACTCGTAATGTATTACTTCTTATGTTTCAAAGTTTTGACATTTTATCATTGTAATTACTGTATGTTTATCAAGATGTATTGTGGATGACAAAAATAATCTTTTTAAATTTATATTCAAATGACTTGTAATTGTTAAATGTCAAAACAAACCAGAAAGAAATTTCAAATTGGAAATGTGACACTTTTAGTGTGTAGATGTTACATGTACATGTAATTGTATTTTTCATTGCATACATTGGTGTATTAATGTGAAATATTTAATGGACAGAATTTTTCATTTCAAACCAAAATATAGATTACTTTTGGCCCCCAAGGATCAGTAAAAATTATACTGTCCCTATTCTGCAAATGTGTTTCAGGGGTGAAACTTAACTTTGCAAGGCCAGTAGCCAGCTGGGCTACTAGACTTGAAAATTATTAAGCCCAGACAAAAAGTTAGTAGCCCACTTTATTTCACTATGAGTATCACTGGTGAAGCAAGAAAATTTTGAAATTTTAGACTCAAAACCCTGCATTCTGAGCATACCTAGAGGTGATTTAGATGCTTGGGAAAATGTAAATTTTGTCTTATTTTTGTTGTTGACTTCAATAAAATTTAATAAAAAAAAAAATCATTTACAAAATGGGAATCTTCATACCCTGTGTACCAGTTTTTTTTTTAATATCTTTTTAAGACAACTAAAGAATTCTCTGTCCTTAAATACATGTAGATGATCGATGAAATATTTAATTTAGTTCTTTAATAATCTTATTTATTAAATACCTTGATCGATTTATTTTGCGTAACTACGTACATTTGTAAACAAATGACCCCCCTTTTTTCTCAAAAGACTTGTACACGTATTTCAAAGGCATTGTCATAAAATTGATATCTCCTCTGATTTTCTCTTTTTTGTAAACTGTTCAGTAAGTAGGAAACTAAAATCATTTTGAACTAATGTTATTTATTTGTGGTCGACAATATTCTACTTTCGTTTTTGACCTTCATTCTCTGGACACCACGTGGGATTTGAAAAGGGAACTACAAAACGTACTGTTTTCCAGATTCTTAACAACATTATATATTATACGTTCTTTTATTTGACTGATATTATTTCATAACATGCTATTGTCATCTTCTCTGAATTTCTTCGCTTTCTTGAAGCCAAAACCGAACTAAACAGGGTATTTGATTGCTTCATTGTAAATGACCATCTTGTTATCCTTGCAAACATACGATACTTTCCGGACTTTAAATAGACGACCAATCAGTGACCTGAATTAATGTGAACTATATTTAGTCAAAGGTAAACACTGATTTTACATCCTTGTTTATAGCGACCGCGACTTTGCGACAATACAACTCTCGACACTTGCCTGTATACATTTTAAAAAGATTTTTTTTTCTTTTTGAATTTATATTTTTGTCAGTGAAGTAGCCAGCACTTGGAGCTACGGTAAACAGCGGATTTCCGTCTGTCGAGTACTTTGTTTTCAATTCGCCACCTGGGCTACCACAACTGAATAAAAAGATCGCCCAGGTCAATTTCTGGTCGCCATGGGCGACTGGGCGACCGTTAAGTTTTTTCCCTGTGTTTTAGGCCTTAACAGGTGACCAAAAAGGTTACTTTTAACAGTTGTCATCACCTGATATGTCTGTCATCCGATAACTTTTCATTGTTTTCATCATCATACCTTGATGTAATTGACTAAATTCAAAAGAGCTACTAGCCAAATATTATATTTCAACATGTTCAAAGTCCCTTAAAAAAATTCTGGCTGTTAATTTCTTTAATCATTAACTTCAAAGATTATGGTAGACCTTTTTTCAAAGGTAAGGATTCTAAGTTTCATGGTAGTGTCTAGGGATGCAAATAGCACACAGCAATGTCAGATGCAAAATATTTTACACTTTTCATTTTATATATATGAGTTTCATGTTCAAATGATGTAGCAATTAAGGTTTTACAGTGTTTCCCATCACTAAAGAACCAACAAATATCCCCTCTCAGACACAAATTTCTTATTTATCCTATATAACATCTTATTTATTTTCCAATTGTATGTTTCAGGTTGTTGTTTTGTTACATTTTACACAAGAAAGGCAGCATTAGATGCACAGAATGCACTACACAATATCAAAACAATGGCAGGGGTAAGTTTGATTTTTACATGTTTAAAAACATGTCAGGGGTTCATAGGCCACCTTGTGACAGATGTCTTCCATCTGAAATAAGTTGCATGGTGCATCTTATTAATATTACAGTCTCTAAGGGTGTTTTAGGAATTGTCCCAAATTACACGAAATTTACGTTATTTTGGAATCAAAATTATTAGGGTCAGTCAGTGGCGGATCCAGAACTTTTTGTAAGGGGGGCCCACTGACTGACCTAGGGGGGGCGGCTCCAGTCATGCTTCAGTGATTCCCTATATAATCAACCAAATTTTCCCACAAAAGGGGGGGCTGGGCCATGGGTCTGGGGAATACATGTACTAGAAAAATATATTGCTATGTTATTGTATGACCCTATGAAGGAGTTGGTGTATATCTTTCAACAATATGCACTTCAAAACCTGAACATTGTTAGCAGGTGAAGTGTTTACAAGTTGATTTTGTAAATGATTAAAATTTACCAGATTTCTGTAAAAATTGATGAACTTAATATGTTACCAGTATGGTACAATGAAAGATGTGAGGTTATCGTATTTGTAAAGGTATAATTGTAGTTAGACAATTCATAAAGTACATTTGATTTGAAACTGCCAGCAAAGTTTTAAAAGCGTACAAGTGGACTGAATCTGATTAGTTATTAGCCAGCTTAGGTTCATGGCTCTCTTGCATAGATAAGTTGATACTCAGCATGGAATCTTTGAAACTTAAGCATTGATTTGACTATCAGAGGAAAACCTGTTCTATTACAACACAGTATGTATTGATCTGACTGTATCAGGTGTTAGAGGCTGCAGATGTGAGACTGTTTTTGTCACAAATATGAACATAAATATCATAGACTTAATGAAAATTTAATCAATATTTCTCTAAAATGTAAGAGATTTTGTATCAGAGGGAAAGATGCCATTGAGGTTTTAAATGTATTGTTCTTTTCTTGGTTTGATATGTCCTATAACATAAGGACTTCTCTCCGACTCAGATGTTAGGGTGTTGATTCTAGATTGTGTGTGTGTATATATATATATCTTTCCTGCGTTTGCATTGCAAAATGTTTGGTCAGTTATTTGGAAAAAGAAACCCCAGCAAAAAGCACAATTTTCAAACGAACTTGACATGAATTTGCTTTTGGATGTCTGCACTTATACTTTTGTAAAAGTATTCGTTTTGAGATGACTCATACATGTAGCATGAATGGTGCATGGTTTGAATGAAAGGAGGTTTGAGCCACATGATGACCACTCAAAGAGTTGTTGCAAGGGTTCGTTAACATTTATAAAGCATGACTATCTACACAGGTTCTGTTGTTAATTGCAAAGACATATCATATACCACTTTTCCAGTAGAAAAGTGATCAGCTTCTTTACTTTGCAGAAGAAACGTTATCTGGACAGACAATGCTGGCACTAAATAGAGAAGCTGCTGTTAAATGCCAGATCAATTTGTTCTGATTCTTTTATAAGCTTCTTGGTTAGATAAATACTTGGAACTAAGATGTCTGGAAAGGTCCTGGCCATGTTGTCTAATATGATCAGTCATAGAATATTCTATTCCTATCCTTAAATCTTCTTTTGTGTCTTACAGTTGCATTACTTTGATCTTGAACAATTGCACTCATTTTGTACTTTTATTTTATGATTTTAATTTACATTGAGTCTGATGTTTATTAATATTTTGTATTATTAGAAGCAAAGATTTTGGGCTTTTTGTCCTATACAGTGATTCCCTATAAAGCCGAAAAAACATATTTTAGAAATGAAACAAGTTTGACACATGAAAAACATCTATAGAGGACGATGTCAACTAGTTTGACACATTTCCAAATGAAGCACAACAACTCAAAAGTATTCTTATATTGAAAATTGATTGCAAGTTTATACTGAAAATTTTTATGACTTTCAAGTATTCTTTCTTGTACGATTGTTTGTGAAAAGTGTTGTTGGTCTGTAAAAATATTTGTAGCAGTCTAAGATTTGTTTTGGTTAGGCTTTCCACTTTAAATGTCTTATGTGCTTGTGCATATATATTGTTGGCCAACTTGCCTATTCAAACTTTTTATCAATGGCGGTTTTTTGGTTCCTCAGCTGCTTTATGAAATCAAAAGTTAATTCTTGTGAACTTAAAGAAATATATATATTTATATGAGAATTTGATTTTTGCAGTTGAGCTTTCTGATAGAAAAGAGTACTTGTTAAAAATAAAATAAAGCATTTCTGATCGACATTATACACTGTGGCCGATTTCTTATGAAGTCTTTAAATATCTTGTGCTGTGTCATTCAAAACCTACCTTATCTACCATCTTGTGATAGTTTAATTAAAGATTTGAAAATATACCACCTAATTAAGTATTTAAAGGTAGAAAGATTAAATACCTGCAAACCAATCAAACAAGAGGTACTACACAAATATTATTGTATTGATTGTCTTCTCAATAAATAGCTTGGCAAATATCGCAGTTTAAAAGTTTGGCTGATAACATATTGATTTGATTGTATCTCATTGTCAGGTTAAACCTATACACTCTATAATAATAGTGTAAGAAATCACCAGGTCATCCAGCTACCATACCAGGCATTGTTTTCAAACGGCATGTCTTTTGTGCTCATTATCTCTCTAATCTAGCTAATTTGGAAATAAATAGACGTGAATGGTCGTGACTTTGTAAATAAACTGCTGGCAATACACTAACTGTAATTAAGTCGACATACATGATCATTTTTATTGTTTGGTTAATGGTTGATTGATCGCCTAATCGGCCCTAGTTAATCGGAATTATGTTTTAAATGGTTTCATATTTATAACTGTTAATCTGTTCAGTTTGTTAAGTTAGTATGAAGTTAAGCTTGCTTAATATGTATTAAGGTAATGTAATGGATATAGTTTGTACTTTATAAACTATATTATAAAGTGCAGAATGACCTTTTAAAGAGAACATGTCATTTACACCAGGCTAAGTAAATCTAACAATACATGTATAAAAATTAGGTGATGTTGTATGATTGCCAATGAGACAACTAATTACCAGAGTTCAATTGAGGAAGATATAAGCAATTAAAGGTCACCATATGACTTTCAACTATGAGAAAACCCCATACCATATAGTCAGCTATAAAAGGACCCAACATGAAAAATGGGAAATATTTTAAACAAGAAAACCAACGGCCTAATTAATAACAATACAATTACAAAAAACAAATATGACGGACATCAACCTCTAACTACCACTGAACCACAGGCTCCTGGCCTGGGACAGGCACATAAAGATGTAACAAAAGTAAACTCATTGTAGTGTGCACCCTAAACTAGTTATGAATTATATTAAGATATCTGTGATCAACATTCAGTTTTCATGGTTAAGTTCATATTTCAGATACTATAAGCAATAGTTCAAATATTTATTAGTTGTATGGAATGATTGCAAGGTGTACATGTCTGTCTAGCAGGGTTCATCTGACCTTGACATCATTTTCAGAATTCATTGGTCAATGTTTATTTGTGTGATTACCATTTCTCTGATACAAGTAGCGTCAATTGTATTTGGTGTATTGAATGGTTGTAAAGGTATAGCGCTTGCAAGTTTCATCTGAAATTGATCTCATTATCATGGATCATTGATAATGTTAAGCTAATGTGATACTTGTAGATGAACCTTTATAGGAAAAAACCTTTGAACATTGATTTCGATCATAATCAGTTATGCAGGCGAGACATTTCAGCTTGTGCAATCTTGTAACACATACATTACCATCACATCATCATCCTATTTTGAAAGGATTGGAGAATTATGAATTTTTTTTTCAATTTTAAGAGGTAAATAATGGCTTGTAATATGCCTTTTCCTTTCGGTGCCAGATGTTGATAATTTATTTGAAAGCTCACCTGTTTAGTGTGGACAAGCTGCTTCTGAGAACCATCTGAACTCTTATACTTTGTGCATAATATATCTTCATATCTCAAGTATTAAAACTTAAAAGTAAACATTCAGAAAACTTTGGAACTGAAATCTGATTGAGAATTTTACCACAAAGTCGGAAGAAATTGATGAAAAAAGGAGGATACATTTTCATTGGAAATTGGTCCAAAATGCTACAGGATTGCTAGGGAAATAAATGCTATATAATCTGTATGAAATGTTTTTAAAAAGAAAGATTTTAATGTCTTCCTATTGTAGCATTTCAAGTAACCCAAAAGATAGACATGTATATATATATATAAGAGGTGGAAGATACCAAGGCATCATTTAGAAGCTCAATAGAAGTCCAATAGAAACTTGTAAGGCCATGACAAATCTAGAAAGAAGACTTAAAAGACAAACGCTCCACAAAGCACTACATAAATACTAAACACTGAGCAACACGAACCCTACCAAAAACTGAGGGTGATCTCAGGTGCTCCTTTATAATTCCAGACATTAGCTGTCTCTTAGACAAAAAAAAATTGCTGTTTTAGCAGCACGTCTGGTTTACAAACAAACTGCATTGTTTTAATGAATAGTTGGAAGCTTTATTGCTGTTTGTCATGATATTCACCTACTGATCAAGGAAAGATATTCATGTTATTGGTAATTTTGCTATCTTATCCATTCTGGTACAAAAGTCCTCAATATTTCCTGTTTTTATTTAATATTAGAAAAGTGATATATATGTAATCTTTCACAGAAATAACCTCGTTACTTAATTATTTTACAAAAATGCTTATTTTACGATGTTTCTATTTATCGTATAAATAGAACTCTAGGTGACAAGATTGCTAAAAGATGTGATGAAAAATTCAATAATTTTGCGTCAAACTCTAGTTATCTGCCATTATAAGTGTTAGGATTTCCTGTAGATAATGGCTGATCAATAGTAGAATACCTTCATTTTAATTGCATGGTCAAATACAGGTTGGGCTTCATGGCTTTCTTTAAAAGCTATAGTACAAAGCTGACCTTACATAATCAATGTAAACTCAAACTCAAGGGGCCACCAGTGGGATGTGGTAAAGCTGACTTCTTCATAGAGAAAACTTCAGCTTGTGGTTGAAAATTATAAACGATGAATAGCCTACAGATTATGCATTTTAACTACAATGATCTTGGTAACCAGATGTAAAGGCAAGGTGGACTGTAGTGTGTAATAAAGGCATAATTACTTATTAGACCCCATCATTAGACATTCTGTCATGAATGAGAGGCTGGAGTCTCTAGCTTGAAAGTCCAGGTTACAAACTAATTTTAAAGTTGCATTCTAGGTGCATGGCTACTAGTATCACAGCCAGGTCAAATATTTTCACTGATAAATAATGTTGAATAATTCTTAGCTCAAGTGACAAATGATCTAATACTCCTGTCTGAAGAAAACACTCTAAACATTATTTTAGGGACATGTAATCAAGGATCACCAAGAAATGGCCTAATTCTTAAAGTTATCTAGTTTATTACAAATGTTTTGTTTGTTTTGTGCTGAATACATCTTTTCAGCACGTAATCTGAACATTTTTCTATCATTTTACAGTACAAATATATTAGATTTAGTTGGATATTTGTATCTAATGTTAATTTTAAGATGGTAAGCTAGACTAATTACAACACGTACATGTAGTTGGCTGAAGTTTTACCCTTGTCTATTGGTCTGTTCCAAATCTCTTTGGAGGTTCTTTGATTGATGCTTCACACAGTTGTCATGACATGTAGCTGATCATACATTGCTGGTAATTGGAATTGCCTTTTCTGTTCATTTATTGCTGCAAATTAGATTAACTTTTTTTGGGTAAATAAGACAAGGGGATATACATAATGTTTTTTTCTTTCTATTTTGGTCTAGTCTAATTCAAATTTCATTTACCTAATTCATAGGCTAGTCATGATCAGACATATTTACAGTTGTTCTACGCCATTTGTTTTTGCTACCAACTTCAACCTCTTTGATACTTGACTTTAAATACTAGTATCTTCATTATGCTTTAGTGGTCAACAGTTGTTTGGTAATGACATTTACTTATTTACTTCAATCAGTGCAACTAATCAAATGTGTTTACACAGCCTTCCAGCCTATTGTTTTAAATAGACTTTCTGTGGTTACTTACAATGTGATAATTACATTGTCAATATTGAAAAAATTCCGCTTTGGAGTTTTGTACAGATGGATAGTCCGCCTACTTTAAACAATTATGATCACAATCAATAGCATACTAAACTTTATCACTAAACTTTATTATTGTTATCACGGAACTTTTGACAATTTCTTGTCCATGGCATAATCAATTAACTACTATAAATAGTACTTATCTGAAGCAGGGTCGCTCAAAATTGAGAGTTTTAATGCAAATATAATGCAATATGCTTTACATCTGTTCTTACTGAGGGTCGGGGATGTTTGGTCCAGTTAGTTTTCAGCCTTTACTTGAGGAAACAAGACCGGACTGTCAAGAGATAATATTGCAAAGATCTTCTGATGTTAAAACCTGTTGATTTCTGAAACATAGAAATGAACTCCTGTGGTACATGAACTTGTAAATACTTATGAACATGTTTTTAATGGGAGACCACCAAAAAAAATAAAAACAGTTACTTTCTTTTCCCTAGAGCTATCAAGCTGTTTGACTACTTAAAGTTTGGACCAAACCATCTTTTACTTAACTTTTGTTAATGTTTAATGGATCTTTTTTTAGGACTGAGGGCAATGTATTAAAGTCAACATCGGTTTGTTGATCTTCACCAGCCATATAGTATACAATAGGAAGCCATTCTATACAAAACAAACTCGGAACTATTCTTTCTCAATTTAATTAGAATATTCAGACAAAGAAAGCTCAACTTAAACTTAATTCTTTTTCTGTATAATCAAAGTAAAATTTAGTAGGCTCTCCTTTAAGAATCCTTTGAAATTTTTTTCACAAAAGATTTTTGTCAAGATCAGATTTTTCAGTAAACATTTAAATAAGCAGTTTCCCTTTCAGATTTTGCGTTAGTATGAATGCTCACAAAATATTTATTAGATTCGCCTTTTAAATCAAATAATTTTCAGATTTAAGAAAGTCGCCCTAATCTGTTATAAAGAAGTCTCAAGGGAAATTCTTGCATAAGACCATTATATGTTTAATTATATATATGGCTTTATTTCTATGCTTCTTTTGAAATTTCATAATGATCATTATTACAGAAAATTCAATTATTCTTTCCTGGGCTGACATATTAAAGGGATTTGTTTAAAGATATGTAATGATTATATAAACAAGTATGAAAACTTAGAGAAGAAAATTTCTTATACTAGTTGAACAACATTGCTGGCAATTTTACATGTAAAACTTTTATGATAGCATGCACTGATCAATTAATTAAAATAAGTGTTTCTAAATATAGTTTCTTATGGTTTTAAGTTCAACATAAATTGGTTGTTTTAAATGTTCATGCATGTTGCACTATAATAAGAACAAAATTTGTGTGTGTTTTTTTATGTTTTAGAAGCAAAATTATGGAAGTAAAAAAATTATGCCAAACTCATTAAATATCATAAATTACACAAGAGAAGATGATGATCACTTTAAGAACATTTAGGGAAAGGCTTCAGTAAAAATAATTCTGCTATTAAGGATTGTGATATCTAGAATAACTTTCAAGGGAGATTTGACCATAACCTTTAACAATAAAGGTACCACAATGTGTAGACATCCTTGACATTACACTACATGACCTGTACCAGGTTACTCAGACATTTGACCTTTGTCTGTGATAGTTACAGTGGTGTATCAAGTATGGTCACAGTGAAATTTATAGAAGCTAAAAACCAAAAAAAATTGATTCAATGTAGTCAATTAGTTAACACTTGTCCAGTAAAGGTTCATACATTTTTAATGTAAAGGTGAAATGAAAAATAGATAAAGCAGATTTCATAATAGAGATTGTTTCAAAAAAAAAATTGAAGTGATGGTAAATATCTATAACATTAGATATTTTGTTTAGAATACCAGAAGCTAGTTCATTAAGTTCTCTTCTGCAATGAAGCACATTCTATGTTATTACAGTAATATTTACCCAAACTCATAAAACATTTGTTGTATATTTGTAAACCATTATAGAAATATAAAGATTTGTTTGAAGCATTACTTGTATCTATATGTACTATGTAAACAGTGATTGGAGTGTTTTCTGTTTGGATTAAAACAGCTGGCGTGTGTACATATGTCAACAAACCTGGACTTCCTGTATTGTTTACAAGGTAGCTGACATAATCAATGTCAGTATGTGACAAATCTTGTCAGATGTTTACAAATATGTTATAGTACTAGACTAAGTACCTGTAATGTTAGTCTTTGTAATAGAGGCTACAAGCTTATTCAGATTTTTGAAATTATTTAGACTAAAGATCCAGAGAATGATTAATAAACTGTGGAGTCTTCAGCTTTAATCACAGGCCAACAGCCCATACTCTAAAAATTCCATTGGGCCTGTATTTATTATACATGTACTGACCACTTAAATAGTGTGATTTATTTTGCAATTATCTGGTCCATCCGGTTCAACAAATATTTTCATCACACTTTTGTAAGAAGCTACTGAACATATTAAGAAAGCAGCTTGACAGTGATGAGTTGTAATATACATGATATATGAGCACTTTAGGATCTGTCAGGTACCTACTTCCCAGTAAACAATCCAACGTTGACATTACGTTGTGACAACGTAATACTACCGTTGTGACAACGTAGTAAAATTACGTTGGTACAACGTAATTTTGTGGACTCCAAGGCACGTGCTGACAACCATCCACACAACGTTGGCACAACGTAATTTGTGACGTAACTTATTACCATCATAAGACGTTGTAACAACGTCGCAACACAACTGTAACTGTCCCTTGTCCTCATTTGATTGATAGGAGCAATATAATTCCATTGAAGAAGTAAACAGGGTCTATATTTTATTCTTCTGACCTGTTTTAAGTTGTAAATTTGTCTATGTAGGAAAGGACTCAATGTCGATAAGTACTCTATTTCCAAACTGCCAGCTGTGTATAATATAGTCACAAAAGTTGTTTTTTTTTTGTACCTTTTTGCCAGTTTTAATGTCAAATGTATAAATATCTGTTTTCCCAAAAACTTTGCATTATGTTTTACATTAAACCTGTAGTTTTGTCCAATTCATGTTTCACACAGTTTTTAAGGTTAAAGTCTTAGTTTTTAACTTTTTCAATACTGAAGTACAAGATTTACACATTTCCATTTAACAAAAGCAACTTTTCTTTAAAAAATTTAACACATACTACTATTCGAAAAAAGAGATTTTGTATGATGGCCAATGAGACAACCCTCTATCCAAAAATCAAATATTGACGATGTTAGCAATTATAGGTAACTGTACAGCCTTCAACATGACATCTTGTACATGCTGCAACTTCTGAATGTTTAGGGTTTCAGTGTTCTAGAATATAGATTTCACTATGATGGTGGAAATTCTAGAATGTAGATTTCACTTTGACGAAGGAAAACATTTTTTAATGAATTGTTCAGAAATACAGCAAACTACCACATATACCTTAATATTTACTGTAGATTCATTCAGCTGGATTCACTACACAATGACAAGCTAGGAAAAAAGTTTGGAAAAAGGCCCAAAAGCTGACTGTCTAATTTACAAATATATATTCTACACAACTTATACACACTTCTAAATATATCCCAAATGAAGAAAATACCTGAAATTCAATCAAACTAACTATTGCTTTTTTTCCATTGACCAACTAGAGATAGACCTATCCAAAAGTTAAGACTTCTTTTTTCTAAGCTACATGAACCAATAAAAAAATAATATGTTTCTGATTTTTTTTTTAATTTTTATTCCAAATTTTAGTCTTGTGTTGGTTGTATACATGTCATTCCAAATTTTGGTTTTCTGCCCTCTGATCAGCTGGTCTTGTGTTGGTTTCAGGTCTCTGAAAAAATAATAATCATAAATTATAAAATACAAAAAAAAAGTTGATACCAACTTATGAATTACAGCAGTTCTTAAAAAGTATCCTGTGTGTAAACATAATCAATATTTTTTTCTATTGCTGGTTGTATAATAAATCTTGCAGATTCATAATTATGTTGTGTTGTTACTGAGATGTTTGTATCTTTGCCAATTATACACATTTTGATAATGAATGTTAGAAATTTTAACATAATTTCAACAGTATATAATAATTTATAACTTTTGGTTAACCTTTGTTCTTATTTAAAAAATTAATTTGTTGTTAAATTGAACATGTGTTAATGAAATTATGGCTGTTCAGGAAAATACTGTGTCCGCCCCCCAGGGACGGCCCTTTTTTTAACCCCCAGCACCAACAGAATTAAAAATAAATAAGAACAACACTCCTTTTGCATTTTGGTATTTCAAATACACCACCCCCACATAAAATTTAAAAAAAAGAGCCTTCCCTGGGGGGACATAGTATTTTCTGGAACAACCAGTAGTTATTCTACAAATAATAATGAATCCAAATTAAAAAAGGAAGTTTGGTTTCTCAAAATTGTCATTGATCAATTAATTTAAGATATTCATAGGATTTTACCTTAATAAATTTAGAATTTACATCAATACAGCAAGACCTTATATCATATGCCAATGAACGCAATCTATAAAATCAACAATTTATAATTTGATAAATAAAATTAATAAAAGAAGAATGTGTCATTGAGCCACAAATGATGTTATTTAAGGACATAACTGAAGAACAGTAAAACTGATTCTCTCCAAATTCAAACTCTGCATTTTATGATAAGCATTGTGTATAAATTTCATAACATGTCGTTCAGGCAAACTCAAGTTAGAGAACAGTAACCAATTTTGAGTTCAATGTATGTACGTACAGTAGAAGAGTAAAACTATATCACTCAGTGAAGGAGGGCATAAAAAGAGCTGATCAACTGATGTTTACCTTTTTATAACTTGGTCCATCTTTTTGAGCTAGCTGGTGCATGCTTAAGTGTTACTGCAATGCATTCCTCAACCTCAGACACATTGGCTCTGTGAATTTTTATACAAGACTCTAGAAAAAAAATTATAAATACATTCAATTATCTTCTATATTCTTCAGTCTGTTTACATGCGTGTCAGTCCAAAAACATTTTGGGAGAACTAGGTAAGTGACAAATTAACATGCATTCCGAAATTCATAAGATTTATGATTGATTACGACATTGTTTCTGATCACATATTCAGTGAGAGTTGTTTATAGCTCGTCATTGATTAACATGTAGATTTCATACCATAAGTTGAACAGCAAAAAAGACGTTCCTATATACTGTTTTTTTAACACCAGTAAACTGGGTTTTACCCTGAAAACAGGAAAATTTTACCCAACTTTTCCCGACTGGATCCTAGTCTAAATAATGATGACGTCTGGGAAGGCTATTTTAATTTTTTTCTGTGACGCCTTCCTACGACGACCTAGTCCCACATAATTATGACTTCTTGGAAGGCTATTTTAACTTTTTTTCTGTGACACCTATCTACGACAGTCTTTATTGGCACAATTGTCTATTCCCATGTCAGACCCAGTGACACATTGATTGATTGACGGTTGCTTAACGTCCAGTGGCAAATATTTCATGCATGTTCAGGATGACCCCCAGTGATACATGTAGTATTATCATTTATAGGCCGAGTTTGTAATGTGCCCAGATGTCTAGCTTCGCATTTGTGGTAGTGATCAGGCTTTTATGCTTCCAACATTATCAAAAAATAACAGTGCAAAAGACACTTGCAGCCTTAATATATAGGGATAGTAGCTCGTCATGGATAGAAAACAAGTGCCTATGGCTGTGCATCCATCCCCCCCCCCCCCCCTTTTTTTTTTACTTTCTACAGTTAATTGCATATATCTTAAAAAAACAACACAAGTTAATCGACCATGTTGGCTAAAATATCTTGTATCAGTGCAATATATTGACAGTAAAAGAAGAAGTATCATATTTCAACACGGTCACGGACAACAGACTTGAAAGAGGCGCCCAACACGGCAACAGATGTTTTATTTTCTTCAATCATACTTGTTTTTATCATGGAGAACCTTTTTGGCGTAATGTGCAATTATTATATTACCTTTTTCTTTGTTCTGGAATCTGGATCGAGCTAAATTTCACTGCAAGTTTTATCACTGTTTTTAAAAATCAAGCGGTGAAAGTGCGCATGCTCAGACTGTTCTTAGTAAGCAGCGGTAAAACCCGAGTACTGCTGAATGTTCCACTATTATAACCAATCGTAAAAAACCGATTATGAAATTAAAATAATAAATGATGACAAAACTTTAATGATATATTAAACAATAAAAATTCATATAAAATATTTATATTAGAACATTAGAATTGGATTTGTAATATTTTCTTGGACATTTTGGTGCAAATTATGTCTGTGCGGGAAAAAAGGGGGATATTTTGAAAATCGAAAAAATCGTTAATATATTCTAGTAAAGGTGAATGATATATCCAGGAAGACTCATACCCACAAAATTCGTCCCATAAAACCAGATTTAAATGTGTCACTGATATTCACAGGGTTTGTTCACTACGTTATTATAATGTTGATACGACGTAACAAAATGTTACGTCGGATTATGACAGTTATAAGCACGTTGTCACAACGTAATAAAATGTTACGTCCTGACAGGGTACTAAATTTACGTAAATTCGACGTAATTTTATAACGTCGTCTGTACGTCTACATCCAACGTTGGGTTTTTACGTTCCCACAACGTTGGTACGACGTAAACTCAAGACATGACGTTCAGACGACCATTAACCGACGTCGGGAGTACGTCGTGTGTTTGCTGGGTTCCTGTTGACCTATACTTTGGATTTTTTTTCATTATGCTGAATGATGAATGAACTAAAAACTTTTTGTCACATTTTTCTCCAATGCTACTGAACACAATGATTCATATTTTATCAGCTGCTTAACATTGATGAAATGTAATGGGTGTACACTTTTCTGATCTGCCAGTAACCTACTTTCTGTTTTCTCCTACTTTGAATTAGGAGTTAGGGTATGCTGAGTAGCACAACAGCACATGCATTCTTGCTTTACTTACTGACCAATCATTCACCTTATAAACAAATTTCAAATGATGGATCACAACTATTGGCCAGAAAGTTTATCCTGAAGACTTACCATGATGACAGTTTTTTGTGTGCTTGTTTTTTTGGGTTCAGATATCAGTCAGAAAATTAAGAATTTGAAACCTTTCTTGGTTAGATAAAAACTGGTTCTAACTATGTCTGAAAGGCAAATATGTAAGGAAATTAAGATATGTACCTGATTCTCTTGTTTCATAACAAATAGGGCCAAGTATATTTATTTGCTTCAAGTGGTCACTTATTTCAGAGGTCGCATCCTGAGCACAGAATATTGACTACTCATACAAAACACATGAGGAAAAAAATAAAAAAAATTTCAATGCTAAGAAAATAGTGTTAAAGTTACAGTTCAGTTTTGTTTATCTCAGCTGGTAGAGGTTAATAATTAGGCTATCATTTCCTTAGTGTTTACTGTGTCAACAAAAATACATGGTAATCTTGTTTAAGATAGTAAGAAATGTGTGGAAAATCTTATAATGAAATGATATCCATTGGGCAGGTGATTTTTACAAGTGTATAACATGGTTTTTTGGTAGAAAATCTTATCGGAACAAGGAGGTCATTTTGTGTGTGTGGGAATTTGAACTTGTGCAACGTTTATTTAATATACCCTAATTCAAACTCTTAATATATTGTCACGGTGTGATGCTCATTAACTTGATTAACTTGATGAAATGAAACTGAGGTACATCATGACCCATTTTGAATTCTGGAAATTGATAATGCTAAAGTAGCTTGCCAGCAGGAAAGAAATTATGGTTTTTAGGTAGATCTATTCATTGATGAAATTGGATGCCAAATGTTTGTCAGATCCTTTTAGACATAGCAATGATTTAGTTACATTCCATCACAGACCTAAGTCATGTCTGGTATACCACCTGGTTATGATACCCCATACCAAGCTATGCAGAGATCATTTCTGATCATCAGATCTGACATTTGTCTACTTACATGACAGGGATTCTCTATCTTCATGGGGAATCTTCTCTATACCATGGATCTGGAAGGTCGTTCAAGGTTAGATGCTATTTGATAGTTTTAATTGAACATGATGGCTGTTTGTTCCTCTTGGATAGGTATAGCTGGGCTTTGGATACATTGATATATCTTGGTGTATATAGGTATTGATAGTTAAACTGGGTGTCAATCAGTCAGTTGATGTTCAATGTTGCTGTCACATATGTGTATTACACATGATATTTTTGAAAATAGATAGATTTTCAATTTACTGGATATGAAATGTTCTAAGTAAATTCTAGATTAGTTTGCTACTTCCATAAGAACTATGTTGCTAGTTTTGAATAATAAAAATCTTATGGCTTGGTCTTTAAATTTCTCTGAAAAGTAGATGATAGAAAAACAGTGCCAGTAACATTAAGAAGTTAGCAAATAAGACACTGTTTTACTAAAAGACAAGTCGGCTGATGAATGTAAGAGAAAGCTTCATGGTTATGTACCTCAATATATGTAGTTCTGTATCTCGTGTATCTGATGCAAAGCTTGCATTGTAATGTACAAGTCTTGGCATAACAGCAATAAGGAATGGTTACTGTCACTAAAGATTAACCAGAGCAGGTCAGGCAGGATCATCATAAGGTTGTGCTACATTTCTTACCATATATATTGATGGGTCATTTTACATGAATTCTCTTCAGAGAATAAGTGAATAAATAGATATGCTATGAAGTTCGTGCACACAGGTGTAACTCATTCCATTGACTATTCTCAAATTTATGTTATGATTAGTGTTTTTATTTATACTGAGTATTTATAGAAGGTAATTGTCATTACAGTTCCAATAATTACAATTCATATTATCTTAACCTAAATTTTGTGATTTATTTTTATTTTTAGATGCATCATCCCATACAGATGAAACCCGCAGACAGCGAGAAACGAAGCGGTGAGACAAATTGTGGTGGATATCAAGTCTCAAGAATAATTTCCTGTAACCAAACAAACCTATTAATCACATATAAACACAAATTTCACTTTAAAATGTCTTTTCATTCATGTAATTACTCTCCATATTTGTCATTAATGAAGTAAAAAAAAATATGAATATGGATATATTGAAATTGTCTGATTGTCCCTTCTCAGCTACTTTTAGTTGGGAAACGGACTATGTCAATCTGTAACTGAGGAGGGGCTTTAAACTCCCTACACAGGTTTTACAGATTTCATGAAAAATCACACAAAAAGCATCAGTATACAATGTAAATACCCCGGTATGTATCCTTTAGGGAGGTAAATCCAGTCTGAAATGTTTTAGCTCTTTAGAAAGACTTCCTCATTATTTGGCACATTATGAGTAAAAATGGGGTTTATAAATTTATTGGCTTTGATCCCTGAACAGAGAACCTGAAGTTGAATTTCAAAAATAATAAAGCTCTTATTTTAAAGGAATATTTGTTAATTTTACACAAAAACATTTGAATAAGAACTTAAGTCCAAAATGCTAATGAAAAAAACCAACATATTTTAGACACATATTCTCACACTTTAGAATTGCATTTTTCTGGAAAATTGTGTCTGGAATTCTTTTAATGACAACAGGTAAATTGAAAATGAAGCTTACGGAAAATCTTCAAGTTGGGTTTAAAAAGTTTCAGTTTTTCATTTAAATTATAAAAAATTCAATATGAAGCAGGAAATTGAATCACTAAAATGATGGTTCAGCGTACTCTTTCAGGTTTATTTCCTAGAAAATGTAAAATTAAATGGAATGATACAACTCTGAGGAATATTTCCTCATACCAAATGGTTAATAAAGCAAAGTACTTAAGTCTTGTACGATACAAAGTCGGGAATAAAGAATTTTAAAGTTTTATGACAACCAATTTTCTGGTCTCTTTGTTAACTGTCTCATAGTATATTAATCATAAATGGAATCGGGATTTGCAAAGGGAAAATAAAGAATGGCAGTCAATTAGTTTTGAATCGGAAATTCACTTGACTCTTCATTTCTTGTATAAAAAAACAATTATATTTGTAATTCTGCTGTAGACATTAAGTTGTTTATAACTATTATCGTCAAATTGGGAATTCGTCAGATGTACAAAGTTATTTACTTCAAATAGAAATCTAGCTAAACAATGGACTTCTGACATTTGAAAACCAAATTTGCCTGGAGAAGAATGCATATTCTTGTAGATCTTTGTAATTAAGATCTATAAGCATGTGGAAATCTGATTCAAATTATTGATTATATATACAAAATAGATTAATACAAAGAGTCCACAGTGTTTGGCTTTCTGATTTATAAAAGGGAAAATTACAGGAAATGTGTAATTAAATCAGAGTTTGTTTAAAAATTGAGTTATATTGAATAATTGTTTAAATCGGTACACGTTGAAGAAGTCAATCAAAATCAAGATCACCTTGTAAATTTTTCTGCAACATTTTTAAATTTTTCTTTCATTCATTTAAAATATAGTGCAGACTTAATGTTCTTATTGCTGGAAATAGAGAAATATTTAAGGATATTGTCTTTACTTAGGGAAAAGAAATAAAAAAGAAAATAATGAAAAGAATAAGTGTGTTGATTTCATTCTGTTATGAATATCACAAGTGGCGGGGGGTACTTTCTTGAATTTTAGAAAGGAAAATTTTTGAAAAATTGTATATTTTATGAAGGAAAAAATAACCTTTTCTTCAATTATGTATATCAAAATTCTTGGTGTTGTATTGATTTTCTAAATGGGAATATTTTTAAACTTTGAAATAGAAAGATTTTTGCACTCTTATTTATTCATGAGAAAAAAAACAATATCAGTACTTTGTAAAGAATATTGGAAATTACTTTTGTTTCTGTTTAAAAGGTCAGAAGAATCATTTTCATTTTCAGGTGTCTAGAAAATCATGTAAAATCCATTAGCATTTTAAAGTGAAATTTGAGTATACATTATAATGTCTTAAGATGTAGGACAGAAATAGATAATATGAATATCAAAAAGTTGATTGTTTAATATAGAAGTCATGTAAATATCATATTATTAATTGCATAAAAATGTGACGTGACGTATGTATGACTCTTGAATAATTCATAAAAGATCTGAATATTTGACAAGTTGCAGTATTACAAAGTAGATGTTGTTACAGGAAAGATTCTTGTGAATGATTTCTGCTTGTTTGCAATACAGTTGATATATTAACAGTGTTTTTATGTTGTTTTTTTGTTTTTCATGAATATATTAATTGTCATAATTTTTCCAAGTGCTGCAAGTACAAGTTATCAAAGAGTTTATGTAAAAGATTTTCTCAAGGTTTAGGAACAACAAATAGGGGATACAGATTTTTAAAAGATTTTGCAAACAACTTTGAAATGCTGGACTTGTTAAATAGAAATCTAAAAAAATGATTCAATCAACTGTTGTTTCCTTAAAGAAACCTCCCATTTGTAGGTGCACAATTAGTGTTGTCCAAATAGAATTGAAAAAAAAAAGCAAAAACAAAAATCAATTTTCAAAATGATATGAGGATTTTTAGGATTATTCAAATTTAACTTGAAATACAAAAAGTAAAAATTAAATGATAGCATTTTTTCATTAAATATTTATATAACATGAGATTATGCTTTAAATATGATAAAAACGACAGAAATATGATCAGAACAAAGAATATAATTTAAATTTCACATGTTTAAGGTTATTGTAATATTGAAAACATAGTTGATTATAAGCATTGTGTAGCCTTCAAAAATAGATCATCAATCATCTGAAATAATTTTTACAACTGAGCATTTTTATAAAAATAAGAAGATGTGGTATGATTGCCAATGAGACAACTCTCCACCAGAGACCAAATGACATAAAAGCTTACAACTATAGGTCACAGTATGGCCTTCAACAATGAGCAAAACTCATACCTCAAAGTCAGCTGTTATAGGCCCCGAAATGACAAATGTAAAACAATTCAAACGAGAAAAACTAAATGCCTGATTTATGTACAAAACAATGAATGAAAAAATAGATATGATAAACAGCAACAAACAACCACTTATGTATAGAATGCTCATAGGATAAAAAGTTCTCAAAATTATCCTACAACCCTTGTACCTAAAATCTGGATTGGTTATGGGGATATGATTTTAAGACAATATATTAGAACTTTTTCACTGATATTACAGACATTTTTTACTGCTAATGAACATCTATTTTATAATTATTCATCAAATTATATTTCTTGAAGTAAAAGTGATAAATGCATTATTTTTTCGAGTTTTAAGTTTCAATTAAACATGCTAAAGTTGTATGTAAAATCATTTAAAGATCTGTGACTTAGAAAGAAACTTGTTTAAACTTGACATTTACTGTCAAAGACATTATCAAACTACTCTGTAGATCAGTATTCAAATTAAAACAACATGCAAGTAGAATTGATAGAGAACCCTGCAACAGGAAGTCACATTATACAGGGAACCCATTATACAACAACAAAGTCAATGCTCTGTAAACGTTAAGACAAATTTCATGGACAAGTTATGTAAAATAATTTGAAAAAAAAAGAATAAAAGTTTCACATGTTTTATAAAAAGGTATATATCAAATCTTGAAAACTTGTACTTGTTTTTGTGAATAATATATGCTGATACATTGACTAATGATTAAGTTGTCACTCATACTGTACAAATTTAAGAATTGATCACTTATAAATTCATTATTTACCATTTCAAAGAAAAAACAAGCATTATCCAAAATTTAGTTTGGTATGATGCATTCACTCAGAAATTAATATATTCTTGATATTTCTTTTCACATAAACATGATAAAAGAGAGGCGAAAGATACCAAAGGGACATTCAAACTCATAAATATTTTTAGTCCCCTACCGACGAAGTCGAAGGGGACTTTAGGTTTGCACTCCGTCTGTCTGTATGTATGTCCGTCCGTCCGTCCGTCTGTCTGTCTGTCCATCTGTCAGTCCGGCAAATCAGTTTTCCAGACTTTTTTTCTTCATGCTTGAAGATATTGATTTGATATTTGGTTTATTGATTTATCATGACAAGTTACAGGTCAAGTTTAATTTTCACGATTTTAGCTTTTCTCTTTGTTCAGTTAAAGCCCTTTCCCTAGAATTAAATTTTTTTATGAAATACTTATTAATTAGTAGATTTCTGTTCAAAGGGATATAACTCATTTTTTAAAAGACAAAATGACATTTTGGATTTTTTTCCTTTTCTTTGGTAAACTGTTTGAAAAATTTAGTGGTAGGTTTGTTTGTCATTCTTGAAGATATTGATTTGATAATTAGTATATAGTTTTATCATGACAAGTTACAGATCAAGTTGGAATTTTGTTCCAGTCTGATAATTTTGTGCAGAGTTATGGTCTTTGGACATAGAAAATTCACTTAAATAATCAGTTTTTAACAGTTTTTTTTTTGTCATGCTTGAAGATTTTGACTTGATATTTTTATGTAGTTTACACCATGACAAGTTATAGATCAAGTTAGAATTTCATTCCATTACAATGAATTTGTAACCGGTAGGGGACTATGTATTGCCATGCAATACTCTCAGAATGCTTGTTTGACATATTTTGGAATTTTTTTCTTTTTAAATTGATCATCAATTAATGACAATAATTTTCCAAATGATGCTGTTCCTGTGCTATTGTTTGAAAGTTTCTGTTTTCTGTTAAACTTATAATTTCAGAATAATATTCATATTTTATATAACTATCATAAAGGAAGATTGATAAGGTTATCGAGGGAGGATACCCAGATTTTAAGATTGATTAAATTTTGCATCAAGAGATTTCAGAATGCAGTTAATCACAGTTATCACTAATTAAAATCACTTATCAGGAGAGGAATTAAATTTTTCAAGTATATTTATTCAGAAAATAGTTGCCCTAGGGATTGAAAGCATCTATTCGCATTGTTACATTCATTTGAGGAAAGTGATTTAGTGTTTAACTGTTGTGTTAAGTTCCATGTTTATTTTATACCTTTAAAACAGGAATCCTGCTAACTTATCTAATTTCCAATGTTATAAGACTTCTGTAAGGTAGTAATATCTATTTATAAATATAATGAATGTATTATTTCAGATGAGAGAAAATTATTTGTTGGTATGATCTCTAAGAAGTGTTCAGAAAATGACATTCGCATGATATTTTCACCATTCGGTAGCATAGAAGATTGTACAGTTTTACGAGACCAGAATGGCCAAAGTAGAGGTAAACTAAAATTAGAAACATGTGAAACTTGTCTAAATTGAACCCTGGCAACCTGTCTGTACTGAAATCTTATTATAGGTCATAAATAAATATTTTAATATATAAAAGGGTCTAAATAGCTCATCTACTGTATCACAAGCCTATCAACAGAGGATGTGAGTGAACCCTGTATGTGGCACATGCTTTTAACTCCAATTTTAATTGATTAGGATTGTCAGTTTCCCTACTGAAGGTTGGTGGTTCTCTCCAGGCATGTGACTTCTTCCACCAATCAGAATTGACAACCATGATATAGCCAACAGCACTGAAAGTGGTGTTAAACCCCAACAATGAATCAATCAAACAATATTCTGATATAACATGTTTACCCCAACTTGTGTAGATTCTCTGAAAAATATCTGTTAGATATTGAATCCTCTCTCGAAGGTTCTTCTAAATATTTATTAGCTGATAATACTATGGGGTACTATTATCATCCAAGCTTGGCTCACGATAACCTTACTTGCTTTTAAACAGATCTTTACAAATTTTGAGGCAAGGTTTTAGTTTTTAGACTGTCATTTTAGAGTTGTGGTGTTTTTAAAAGTAGATTTTTAATAATCAGAAGCCAAGAGTGCATTCAAAAAGGGACAATTTGTATATTTTTAGTACCTTTCTTTTAATATTTGACAACCAATTTCCTTTTTGGAAAATCTTGGATCTATGGCTGACTGACTGATGTTTCATTATCTGCATTCACTATATATGATATATATACGATAGATATTTGATGGTCGATTAAATTATGGTAATTGATTAATTCTAACACTTTTGGTTCTTCAAAATCAAAGGACTAAAAAGAACTTATACCTCTTTGTATACAAACAAATTATAAGCATACATTGGTGTAAACTCTCGAGGGGTAGTTGAAAGCCTCTCAAGGTTTTTATTGTCAAATTTATAAATTTTATGTTTATGAATTTTATGAAAATAAAGTTTAATCTTATAAAGTGCCCATTTTGTAGAAAAAATCTTCCAGTTTCTCCCTCTTTTACAAATATTTGACTGGAAGTCATCCTGTTTGTCACATTCAATTTGTAAATATTACAGACTCGTTAAAACTATAACCACCTGTTTAAAAACAGTAGCAATAATTCTCCTTATCTGCTAAAGACATCATCAATGTTATGTAACATCCTAAAATGCACACAAAGGCAGACTCTTGTTAAATAATGTACAGGTTCGAAGATAACCTGGCTTTTCAAAGGATGGGTGAAATTTGTAAGATATTATGTACAGTAGCTGATTTGAGTGAAGTTTTATGGAACATCTGGAGTATATTATCTTATTAGAGGAGATATGATGTGATAACCCTAAGTATGTGTATGACCCTGAATTGACAGACTTATACAACATTCATTATCTCAACAGAGGAAGCTAAAAAAATACACAAATTATTTATTACTGGGATTTAATTCTAAAATAATGACTTGATATGAATTATCCCCCCTTTTGATAAAAGATATTGCTATTAAAGTGAGAAGTAGATATGTTGAATACTTTACTATATTGTCCGCTGGATATTGGTTTTAAGGCTATATTGGAAAGAAATGGACCTTAAGTTAAGAAATTTTTTGAAAAGAAATGTAATATGGAAGTTTAAACAGAAAAACTGCTTCTTACCATTACTCTTTGCTGCACTGAACCAGGTCTATATCTTAGACAGGGAATAAGTTTGTGTCTGTACAGGCTTTGAGGACCATTGTTTGTCTTTGGTTGTTTCTCTGTTTGTTCAGAGGAGTTAGTTGTTGATTTGTTTTAATATTTTATCTGTTGTACAGTTCAGTGTTTTTATGCCCCACCTAGGGGCATTATGTTTTTCGGTCTGTGGGTTCGTCCATCCGTTCGTCCGTCTGTCTGTCCCGCTTCAGGTTGAAGTTTTTGGTCAAGGTAGTTTATTGATGAAGTTGTAGTCCAATCAATTTGAAACTTAGTACACATGTTCCCTATGATATGATCTTTCTAATTTTAGATGCCAAATTAGAGTTTTGACCCCAATTTCACGGTCTACTGAACATAGAAAATGATAGTGCGAGTGGGGCATCCATGTACTATGGACACATTCTTGTTTGTGATTCCTGATATCCGTCTTTATGTATTATTGATATTAAGCTATGTATATTTGTTGATAAGTTATCCTTGAACGGTTCCTTGTCCTGAATATGCATGTAATATTTGACCTTGAACATTAAATTACAATCAATCATTGAATCATTCTTGTCTAGCATAAATGATGTATTTTGGTTATTTTACATCTTTTATATCCAGGTACTTAAGTTAAGCATCTGTTTCTGATTTTGTTAAGTTTAAAATATATAAAAAAATAGCCATTGCAGGCAAATGTTGGGTTTAAAACAAATGTAATGACTTGTGCCAAAAGTTACAGTAAAGAAATATGGCTCAAAACACTACACTGATCTTTTAATGTTCTTTAGAAACTTCAACATTACCTATATTTACTTTATGTCTTTTATCTTTTTGTCAAAACTAATGGCACATAGTTTCACATTTGTGAACAAGGATGATTTTTGAATTTGTTAAATTCATTCAAATATTGTAAAAAAAATTCAATCTTACAGTGCAGTGAAAAAATCTCAGAGTAATTAACTCTGCAGGGAATGAATTTTGCAATGCTGAGATTTATGTATGGTAGAGGGATGCTTTTAAAAACAGGTGTTTCTTTAAAAAAAGATGAAATGATGAGATAACTCATTAGTATACCTCAAACCCTGATTGTGTTAAATTGGGTCATCTTAGTATGTCATACTGATGTGTTTCCTGCTAAGGATTTGTTTAGAGGTTTCTACATATTTAGCAATGTCTTTTTGGAGAGCTGCATTTCAGAAAGATAAAAACAAACTCTGCAGTTTGGAGGCTATCGAAAAGTTTTTCATTGGAAGCTTCGACACCAGTACATTTAAAAATACATCTATATGGCCTTATCAAGCTCATCTTCATAATCGTTTTATGATTAATGGTTTCGTTTGAATACACATTTGTAACAAATCAGCTGCACATGTTTAGGTACACATGAGTTGTTAGAAGTGTCATTAACAACAGTACAGGCAGGTGTCACCAATCAAACATTTGTTATAACATATAAATTGATGGATTACAGTTTTCTTTATGGTTGTATTGAGTGTGAAAATGTACATTTACAAACAAAATTTACACAAGATCTATGGTTGTATTTTGCGTTTTAATTTTTCAAGGACTCTGTACAAAATTCCTGAGTCACAATTGGCTTTTAAGTGTTTAGTGATAGTAGGTTAACATATAAACATGATAGAGTCATTGACTGGTAGTTAATGAAGATGTATCTGTCTCATTAGAAAGAGTATTTATGATGATGACCAAAGGAACAGTATTTATCATATTATAATCGTCCTTTGTCCATTCTGTGTTTTACTAAAATCTTCACTTGTATATTTGTAATATTCTTAGTCATTCTACAATTGAATATCCTAATGACTGTGAAACTGTTCAAAGTGACTGCAAGGTTTTTATCATATAAAGATATTTCAGTAGTTTTTTATGCCAGACATTATAGTAGGTCTAATGCAAAAATGCTTGTTTGATAGTAGAAGATCAAAAGAAAAAAATTGAGAATTAATTACATCTTGCAAGCTTGGATATGGTCAACTTTGTTTGAAGGAAGGCCTTTTCTTTCAAACTGACCTGTTTTTTTTTTGCTCAGTTTGAAGCTTGATTAGACAAATGATAGAATCAGTGCAGTATGCAATGATAGAATCTTGAAACTGTTGCACAGTGATATTTTGCTGCTTCTTCCTGTATTTGATATCCTTAGATACCGAAAGTGTTTGTCGTTTATTTCCCCCTGAAGACTGACACCAAGACTGTCAAGCTAAAATAATGATGTAACTACTTAAAAAAACTCTTGATATTCTGACAACTATAAGCAGCTATACGTGAACAGTGAATTATGTACTAATTACAGTCATTATATGTTATTCTATTGTTCTTTTTTTTGCAGGCTGTGCTTTTGTTACATATGTAAATAGACAGTCAGCTCAAAATGCAATAAAAAGTCTACATCATTCCCAAACAATGGAGGTATGTAAATGAACGTTAGCATTCCGCACTAATTATATAATTCACTCATCATCATTATGGTAGAAGTTTTTTTGGCCTACGTTTTTTGTCCTATTTTTTATGCGATAAATCACGTAATTGTGTCTTGTTCCAAATGTAATGAAGTACTTGCATGTTTCGATGTTTCAATAGGTTTTGTTGCACATAGTTATCTTAATAAAAGTCATTTAGATAATAAGGATATTAGTGTCTGATATTAATAGTATTTATAGTACACTTATTTTAAAAAGTAATCATAATCACATCTATTTCTCTTGTAGAAGGTTAACAGTTAATTCTAGGCAATTGATTTCCTGCAACAAAGGGGTCTTTACACGTAAAAACAGAGTGAATGTTTACGAGTCATTAAACACACACAAACATGCATATCCTTATATTGTGGAAAGTTTCAAGATGAACAACAACAATATAAGTGCTATTCCTTTATATAGTTATTTCTAAGTACATCATGGAAAAGTTTGTCTTTTGACCATCCATTCTGTAATCCATACATGTAGATTGACGACTGTATGTTATAATGCAGCATTAGAGTTCAGTGGAATCTTCCAAGGAAGTAAATTTCATCTTGTATATCATGTCGACAGCAAATTAAAGCCCTTATCTTTCAATTAAAAATATATAAGCCACATCTCCGGCTTGTGTGAAAATTGAAATTAGAAAAGCTGCAAGCCATGTTGTGGAGTATGTCTACTTCTTGAGGATAATGTCAACAACACATACTTTAATCTGATATACTATAAAATCAGAAATGTTTGTATGCATCGGACATAAATGCAAGAATAAATATTGGAAATTCAGGAAATGCTACATACAAATAATGCTATTTAAACTTGAAATCAGAGTTTTCATTTTTGCAAACCTATGCTGTCACAATTTTTACAGTAATTAAAACATTGTAAGAATTAATGTATGTATTACAGTATTGTTTTATAAAGGGTTTGCTTTTGTCTGACATAATTTTGATGAAAGAGTTTTAGATATTGACATTTTATTGTAATTACACAAGTTTGCAAGAACGGACTTAATTTTGGGAAAAAAAATCTATAATGTATTAAAAGTTAGTACAGCAATTATCATATATGAAAAAGATATTAATTGATCAATTTTACAGGGCTGTAATGCACCAATAGTTGTAAAATTTGCAGACACACAGAAAGAAAAAGAACAGAAAAAGTTAAACAACATGACAGCCAATTTATGGAGTCTTTCAGTGGGAGGCTTAAATGCTCTTGGCCCACAATACCTAGCAGTAAGTTTTACCAATTTATTACTTTTTACACAAGCAACTACTATGATTGAGATTGAATAATGACAATTTCATTTGTGTTTGCTTGCCATTTGTTTTGCAGTTTGAATTCAAAGTAGTTACTGTAAATTCAGAATTATTATGTGCATTTATTATTGCGATTTTTGAAGGATGGACAAAAATACGAGATTAATTATTGCAATTTCAGGAAAATATAAATACAGATATATATATCAGATATCTAAATGCAAGTTCTTATTATTGCGATATTCACCCAGTCGCATTATTCGCAATAATCAAAACCTCGCAATAATTTCTGAATTTACAGTATTGGGTCAACCAGAACAAAACTCCTACATGATCAGTAACTCTTTATGTGGTTAAGTACAAAATAATATATGCTCAGTAAGTAATATGTTAGGAGACCTAACATAAATAGACATTTCTTGTACTAATAATCCAATATAAGGAAGTAAAATACTTAGAAAATGTAGAATTTCCTAAAATTGACTGATCGATTGTTGGTGTTTTACACTACTATTAGCACTCTTAGCTATATCATGAGGGCCAGTTTTTATTGGTGCAGGAAGCTTAAAGGGGTACCCAACACTTTGACTAAAATAGATTTGGCTCATTTAATTTTCATAAAATTTTGACAAAATATTAACGTTGACCTGTTGACAAAAATATAAAAATTTCAAGAAATTTGAATCACACAATATATAGGAATAATTTCATTGGATAGATAGCAGTTTGACAAACAATAATTTTGATCATTGAGATGCTTGATGTCTCTTTACTGATAGTATGTGATTTAAACGTTTATCTGATTTTTAAAACGTTAACTCCTTTAGGTGTTCTGTACCCTCTTTATTGCCAAGAAATAACCACTGAAACTGGCAATCCTAGTCAACTAAGATCAAAGGTGAAGGCCTCCAGTAGAGTTTAAACTCAACACCCTCAGTGTTGACACCCTGTGATTAATAAAAAAAATGTAAAGCTGATTGTGTTGAAATAAGTTATACTGGTTTTGTGATTGGAAGTTTCTCCCAAAAAATTAAAGGAATTTTTCTTCGAGTCTTGGTTGTGTAAAATAGAAAGACGTAAAACATATAGAACACACATGAAGTCTTATGTACTTTGAAACCAATTTTAGACTGAACCTTTCTTAGGACAAATTTTTTTTGGGATGAAGCGAGTGTTTAGTTTATACAGGTGAAATAAGAATTCATTGATTGTCCTGATACAAGAGTTCAATTTATACAGGTTTATGGTTTATGCAGGGTTTGGTTTATACAGGTGTTACTATATTTAGGTCATCAGTTATGATAAATTATATCTTGAGGATTTTCTGCCCCAGGAATAGATTACCTAAGCTGTATTTGGCATAACCTTACTGATTTCTCTTCAACTTCATACTTGATATGGCCTTTTAACATTTTTGATTCAAGCATCACTGATGAGTCTTTTGTAGACAAAACATGTGTCTGACATTTGAAATTATAAGCCTGGTATATTTGATAAGTTTTTTTTACAGACATTGTATCTCTTATATTGACTTAGAAAACATGCTGTGTAAAAAATGCAGGTTTTAAAATATTTTTCAATTGCATCATTATCCTGAATGTATATATGTTTGCTTTTTGTTTTTTTTCATCTTTGACATTTCTCTCTTTGTAGTGTGATAATATAATCATGTAAAAAGTTCCCAGTGCTGGATAAACAGGCTATATATTTCTTTTTAGTCAAAAAATGAATTCAAGTTTGTCTGATATATTTATTAAATATTCATAGCAAAATTGATCTTTTTGAAAAAGAATCTAAATTGAAGATACATCTTTGAAACCTGATGTTTGAGTTATCTTTATCTATTTCAATAAACTGTTCTTCAATCAATATATGAAGAAGAAAAAAACTTACTGAAATACATAAAGTATCTTCATCTATTGAAGATGAATTAGACAACTATTAAAAACTTGATACTAGTTCTAATCCTGATTTATTATCAAAAACGCAGAAATTTTGCTATTTATTTTTTGTAAAGACGGCTGGCAAATTGCTATAAATCTTCTACCATATTACATAATTTGTTAGGGAAACCAGTTTCTCGCACACCTTAAAATCATTTTAGTTGCAATAAAATTGTCTTCTTTCACTCCTTACTCTGTTTTTTCTGTCAATTAATGCAAGATATATTCCATAGTTTAACAAGTTCAAATGTAAAACCGCAACCACAATGAATCATAAAGATTCTTCTGAGCTTTGAGTTGCTGCCACCAAATATGTTGATGAATAAATAGAATATAAAATGTGAAGAATGATGTTTTTCTTAGTAATAATTAGCCATTTCTTTCAAACTGATAGAGTAAGAGACCTTTGATGTTCAAACGAAAAAACTGCAGTTTAGTGTTTAATGGGCACCAATTACTTAAATTGTGCAGGCTTTACAAGTGGATTATGCAATGAAAGCTAATAAAATGATGATATGTTTCTTGGCATTGGTTTTTATTTCTGGAGCATTAAATGTACCTGACAAAGTTTTTGAAGATGAGTTCAAAGGAAGGAAAAGGGTTGTCATACTATGTTACTCAGTAATTATGAGAATGATGGTACTTATGTGAATGAAAATGACTGAAAAAATAATGATGTTTTTGACAATCCAGACAAAACTTGAAAGCATTACTCATCTGTTCTTTTGTGGAATGGTTGCTAATTCTGGGGATTCAAGATTTTGATGAAGACATTGTAACTGTAAAATTGACTTAATTATTTGAAATACCAAAAATAAATTTACTGTAAGTGCATGACTTTTAAAGTGAACTTTACCAAGACACATGAAAATTGACTTCTATTAATAAAAGTTCTCCCATGTGTGATAATTAAGGTATTTTTCATTCTAATAATGAAAAATATACACAAAAATTGCTCACCTTTGCTGTAAGGGGGCATGGGCTCATTCCCATGCCAAGTCAGACCTGATTGGTAGTCTCTGCTTCTTTTTGAAGCACATAGCATTTAGGTAAGAGCAAGAATAGGAATGATCACTCTCTTGTTCTGTACAATATAAAGGGGAGAGGAGTTATATAATAGAGATAACAAGTTTGTCTCTCTTGTCCTGTACAATATAAAGAGGAGAGGAGTTATATAATAGAGATAACAAGTTTGTCTCTCTTGTCCTGTACAATATAAAGGGGAGAGGAGTTATATAATAGAGATAACAAGTTTGTCTCTCTTGTTCTGTACAATATAAAGGGGAGAGGAGTTATATAATAGAGATAACAAGTTTGTCTCTCTTGTCCTGTACAATATAAAGGGGAGAGGAGTTATATAATAGAGATAACAAGTTTGTCTCTCTTGTTCTGTACAATATAAAGGGGAGAGGAGTTATATAATAGAGATAACAAGTTTGAGAGGAGTTATATAATAGAGATAACAAGTTTGTCTCTCTTGTTCTGTACAATATAAAGGGGAGAGGAGTTATATAATAGAGATAACAAGTTTGTCTCTCTTGTTCTGTACAATATAAAGGGGAGAGGAGTTATATAATAGAGATAACAAGTGTGTCTCTCTTGTTCTGTACAATATAAAGGGGAGAGGAGTTATATAATAGAGATAACAAGTGTGTCTCTCTTGTTCTGTACAATATAAAGGGGAGAGGAGTTATATAATAGAGATAACAAGTTTGTCTCTCTTGTTCTGTACAATATAAAGAGGAGAGGAGTTATATAATAGAGATAACAAGTTTGTCATTACTGTTTTCGTGTTATTTTATTGTGGTGAACTAAAGTAACATAAATATTATATCCACATTTTATACTATAAATTCAAATTCCCAGTTGAAAAGAAATATTTCTGCTGATTTAGAAATCTCAAATTAGTGTTTTCATTGACTTTTACATTATCAAGAAAATTCTTGAATTATAAGGTCATTCACACTATTTTGAAGTCCTGGTCACTTATCTGTATATGGAGGAGAAGGGGTGAAAGTTTTACTGTAGCTACATTGTATATAACTATTCTCCTGTCAATATGTGCTTTGAAACCATTCATAAACGAATTCAAAGCATATCTGTATTAAATGTGGGATATTCTTTAAAATGTTGTTACACATTTGATTCTTCAGTACAGCTGTTAGTTTAATGGAGAAGATGCTTGTTTTATTGGATAAATACATAGTAACTCAGATAAAGATAATAAAATGAGAGCATTATTGCTATTTCTCTCATTTACATGTTGTAATTTGATAGTTCAATCAGTTTAATAGTAAAGAAGAAAGAAAAAGAGGTAGGCAGAACTAATTGGGTTATCAAGAGTATTTTAATAGATTTTTTTTTCAAACCTAAAATGCTCACAGCAATATTAAGGAAGAATGTCTGATATGTCTTTTGTCTATTAATTTGACAAAGCTGTCAAGAAAAATGGAAGCTGTTCAGGCTTAGTACAGACTCAAACCAGAGTACTTACAAGAAATAATAGATGATTGATTGAAACAAAACCTAATGATATAAACATCTAGATAATAAATGGCTGGGAATCTATGTTCTTGTTAGGGTGTAGTTTTGACTTCACAAAAATAAGATCTGATGACCATAGGTTAAGTTTTCTAGCAAAAGACTGAATTAGGCAAAACATGTTCAGTGATTGGGTGTAAATTAACAATGTCAAGGCCAAAGGTTAAAAATAAATTGAAGTAATTTTGTAATTAGTTGCAGATGCTTAAGAATAAGTTAAAAATTGTAAAGAAATTTATGATAATGTTTTGATATTTTATGATAATTAACAATTTATTTGCTCTGGGTAATAGATAAAACTTGTGTTGCTTGCAATACTGGAGTATAATAATACAGCTGTTGTAAAATGGAATGAATTCCTTGATCTTATGTTGATATCTCAGTTCATTCACCCGTAGTGTACATCAGTAAACAACAAACAGCCAATAACAAAAATTGACTTCAGACAGAATCAAAAGTTTTTCAATTTCTAAGAAATAATTGATTTTCTAGTAATAACAGCCAACAGATGCAAGATTCTAAATTTAAACTTTATCATTTCAAAGAATTTTTATGACAAAGTTTGTTTTCACCACAGAAATCATAACAGAAATATAGAAAACTGGTTTGTTTAAAAACTTCAATAATGGTATAATTATGTCATTGTTTAGAATAAACTAATGATTTATGTCCACAAACCTGATGCAGCAAGATGACTAAACCGGCTTTGATGGAAAAGAATTTTTATCTAATAAACATGTAATTACAAATGATTTGATTGTTCTTTTCAGCTATTACAACAGGCAGCCGCAGCAGGGAACCTGGGAATGTTTAATTTAGGTAATATGGGTACGTAGACAATGCTAATTACCTTATTATCTTGTCTGTCTGTTTACAACCATGCCTTGATGTTGACAAGGGTCAGCTAACTTCCGCCTAATGTTATGTAATATTTACACAACAGATATGGCAACAGGAAACATTGGTTATAAGTTAATAAGACAAATTTTAAGGAATTTTTATGATAATTTTGAAAGATTTTATACAGAATTTCTAAACTGAAGTACATGTATGAATATGATACCTGGCACTTGTAAAATGGAATTCCTTCAGATTTTTCTTTTATTTTTCATCACGTAATTGCAGGCCATACACAAAAAAAGAAGCTTTGATTTGTGGCAATGACTAGTGCATTGAAAAATCATGTACAAAATGATTATATCAAGATTGCATAAACCTGTGCAATAGTTTTTTTGCGATATATTGAAAGTTTTTTTACGTCTAGACTGTTAAAAAGTAGTCCAATGCTTATAGGTTAATTTTGTGATTCACAACCTTATCATTTGCCCAATCTGTAGGCATCATTGGTGTTAAATTCTCATTTATATAACTACTAGTATGTGTCTCTTCTAATGTCAAAGAATAGCAGCTATTTGAAGCTCATGTGTCCTAATTTTTAGCATGGCATACAACCCATTAATAACAGTGGTTAGACTTAACACTAGATGATCTTTTTGGAACATCAAAGCATGATGATTTGTAATGTGTCTGTGGCTACAAATAATCACTAAGTTACAATTAACATGATTAAATGGTGTATTTTTTATAAGTCTTATGTCTTTGTTAATTTTATTTTAAAACAATGCAAAACCATTACTTTGGATCAAGTATTAAAATTGAATCCATAAGCAAAGGATTATTTGAACTAGATATGTTTTCTATCAGAGGGGGCCAAAAATACCATAAAATTTACTTTTTAAGTTCACCATTACTAGGCAGTTGTACAATAAAATTAAAGAAAAACCAATAACTTTGTCCACTGTTTTACATGGAGGTCATTGTTAGAGTTGATCCTTGCATCATATTCTTGTGACTGATCTGTGCAGAAACCTCTGTCATATTATTTCTGTGCAAACAATTTCCATTGGGCTCTGATAATACTATAAAATCAGTTTCTGCACATTGTAGGATTAAGAATATGTTAACTGACTACTGTGAAATTAATTTACCTTTAAAAGGTGAAAGGTGGACACAATAAATTAGAAAATATTTTTTTCCTATTTACAACAGGTGGTAATAATGGTCTGCAGCATCTATTACTGGCTCTTGCTGCAGCCGCAGCAGGAAATAACCAAGGAGGTATAATCTCCCCTTTCACATGCTCTTTGCTTTTGTGTTTTGCCAGACAATAGTCTGTTTTTGTAGTGAACACTTATTTTTCAATGTATTTTTGTGGGTATTTGTTATATTATATATCTTGACATTTCAACTTCAATATTGTTGTATGTTTTGGTTCTTTTTTCTCATTTATAAACACCTTACTTTTTTACTTTTTTCTCTCTTTTCGTTATTTTAATTGAATTTTAAGAGTTATGCATTAGATGAAAAATTAATCAGAAGAAAAAAATGATATGTTGTTATGTCATGTGTATGAAATGTCAATTAGAAATCCAGGTATATTACAGAACCTTTTTAAAATAAATTAAGATCACAAGGTCAGAATAACAATATGTTCTTTAAGTTTGGCTGGACATTAAGGTTCAAGTCATTTCAGCTTCTACATGACCATTGTCCTGAGTATGCATGAAATAATTGCCACTGGATGTTAAACACGCAACAATCAATTAATCTACAGGACTGCAAGTTATTGATAGTAAGACTAGGGATTTCTATCAGACACTGAAATTTGTCTTTGGATATTAATATATTTCAAGCCATTATAGTTCTACATTAATCTGACTATCTGTGCTTCACTTATTCCAGACCACATTTGTCCTATCCTTTAAATGATGACTACTGATATTGCCCTGATTTTTAGGTTTTTTTCATTATGATGAATTTCAGATTATTCCAGTTACTACCTTAGATGGAATAATCTAATGTGAAATTACAACCCATTTTCATTTTTCTGTTCATTCATTTGTACTACTGCCATGTCAAGTTTTTTTGTGTAATTTAAATTTCCATGTCCTTCTTGCCACACAGTAAATAAAGTATGTCACATAAAATGATATTTAACTATAGTGCTTTGTGTTGATGTTTTTGCCGAATATTTGTCTATAGATATGGTTCTTAGTGTGAAACATTTGCAGTTTGAATGACTGCTTTTAAAATGTTGAGTGTTTATTATTTATTTAACTAAATTCTTTTAAGTGTGAACAATTCCATTTTGTTCTATTAGATATATACATATTGTTAGTTATAAGGACCTTTAAATTTTACTGCTGAAGTGAGCAAACACTTGGTTATTTAAACAAATATTGAAAAATACCCAGGTAATAGAATTTACCATAGCCAAAGGGAAGTAACTCAATGGAAATCTGGAATATTTTTGTGGATTTTTTTTTAGCTATTTGAACATTGTGTCAACTCACTAGAAATTCCAACTGTATTCTGTAGATTATAAGGTTCATAATTTTTCCATCCATCTATATGAAAAACATGGTGGTAAAAATAGGCTTATGTTTTAAGAAAAATAGGAAGTACATTTGGGGATATTTGAAGGCACTTTTTCAGGTGCCCAACAAATTCAGACCATATAGTTAATGCTTTCATTTAATATAGAATTAACCACACATTACAATTTATATGTGGTGCCTTCAAAGTCCCCAAGATGTCCTTTTCTAAAAAAAGCTCTTAATAATGAAATATGCTTAAAGAACACCAAATTTATGGCATGCAAGAAGGGAACGGTTTTGGTAATTTCGATCGAGTTATACAGAAATTTTTTTTGTTTTTCTTCAAAACTTCAAAACCACTGTTCATTTTTTTAAAGAATAAATCTGTGTCAATCTCTTTAATAGACTATAGTGGTTTGGAACCCTGTCATGTATGAATAACCAAAGATTTCAATCTTGGATAAGTGCAGATGTAGTAAAAGTTATGTTAGATTACACTAACCATGAGATATATTATTTTGAAGAACATATATGAGGAAGTTCAATTAATAGTTCATATTTAAATAGCAGTTTTTGTATAACACAGATAATGGCATTGGTGTTTTTTTTATGAAATAAATATTAAACCACCAAATACAGCACCAAATCAAACCATTTAAAGTTAGAAATAAGTACATTCTGTGGAATAATTTATTTTTTCTAGGGAACTAATTTTCATGGATTAAGGAAGAATTGGATACTTGATTTTGTTTTTATGCCAAAGTCTGCATTCAAACCTTGTATTTAGTTGAACATTTAAATTCAAGGATTCTCTTTTATTCCACAAAAATTGGTATCCCACAAATAGAATAGATTCCATTATAGGTCTAATATGACTAAGCTATTATGAGCATTGTGAAGCAACAATTGTTAACTTGGAATGATAGTTGGAATTTTGCATAAGCGAGTTATGACAGCACTCATTTTTCCTAACTTAGAACAGCATGTTGAGTTCTGAAAATTAATTTAATTAATTTTAAGTCAGTATTGCTGTTTTCCATACCCAGTTTTTTGCCATTTGAGTTTTTAAAAAATATAATCTCACTATTGTTTATTCAATATATATATATATATATATATATATATATTTGACTGGAAATATATAGTAAATTTTGACAGAGTTTACATTTTTGGTTAATACAGGACTATTAGCTGCCCTTGCAGGGCTCCAGTTTAATGGTGGAAATTTATCCACCCCAAATTCACCAAGCGGATCAAATTCCTCCAATAACAACAGCAGTACAGGTACACAAGCATCTGTGTCGATTTTCAGCCAATTCATTAACATAAATTGCTCTTCAATGTGAAATGCAGGGAAATTCTGATTTTGTTATGAACTACTGTATTTCTTTTCTCTACATGTTACATCCCTGCACCATCTAAATTGTAATATCAATCCTTTTTGATGATAGAAAGTGTCTCTTAGATCTTCGTTTAAATGGCATCATTGAATAAATCATCTTGCATCCAGGCAGCCAAAAATTACTTAACATGTAATTGTAACTTGGGCTAGTGTTGAGGACTCTTCATGTCAGCAATGCAATCGATTTGACTGGTTTGTAATGAAAATATAAAATCAAAAGATTTTACTGTTTGAATGAATCTGGAATTAACATGATTAAGTGACCTTTCATAATATGCATGTGAGTTTGTGATATGGCAGCATCCGATCCTATGAATATTTCAATATTACCGTTTTATACAAAAATTACGTTTTGAAAGTAGGAACAATTTTTACATAATAAAGCTTTACCAAGATATCAAATTTACTTCCATAGTAAAATTAAAAGCTTGACATATTGAGATTTTGTAAAGACATTGTCTATTGTTGAAGACTGTTTGTTGACCTTTAGATGTCTTTTGAATATTTGTGTTGTTGGGTTGCTGTCTGATTGATGTATACCAAATATCTTTTATTTTTCTAGTCAATACTATGACAAGTCAGGCTTTGAGTTGGACAAGATTTTTTTTTACCGTCTTGCATCAAGCATCTAAGGCCAGATTGAAGAGGCAGCAAGTAAACATCTAATGACACTTCAGACTATAATGAGAGAGAGAAAAAATCGAACCAACACCCATTTATCAATTTTAGAGGATTTATTGATTTGATGGTCATTCAATCACTTGGTTTTATCTTTTGGTTTCTGTTTCCCTTAACTTTATGTTGATCAGATTAAGCCTATCAGTGAGACTTCAAATTGATATTAAAGCTGCTAGTATGATGAATAAATGATTTGAAACAAGCACAACATTTTATATGCACATTTTTGAGTTCCATATTGCCAAAACATAAGAAATAAAGTACTAGAATACAATTGAAGAGCAGTTAATGTTATTTTTGACTTTCCTGTTTATGTGGCAAGCCTGGCTGTTATTCTCCTCTTGAAGTTTTTATTATTGCAGCATGTTTATCATATTGTATTCATTTTCATATCTATGTCTCATTCATTTGCAAACACGGGTTATTATAACCAGAACAAAATTATCTTTTCTAACAATTGTTGTTATGGCTTAGCTTTCTTGTTAAAACTTGGAAGGTTTTTATACAGTTTGATATATTTAGTTATTTCTTACAAAATTAACATTGTGTATATATGTATATTTATACTCTTTAATGTCATTTAAAAACCGTGATCCTTAATTATTTCCTGTACTGATCTATAGATACAATCTCAAGTTTTCGTGGATATGATACTTATTCTCAATGGAATAAAAAAAAAAACAAAAAACCCATTAACATCCTTAGGGTAAAAAAAAATACAGAGGTAATTTTTTGCTGTGAATTTTATGATTTTTAATACGCTAAAGGGGTCTTGTGTTTGTGTACCCTTTCTCATTGAGTCGAAGTGGGGAAGGTTATAGATATGATTTGTGACCAAATCAAAACAAAAACATTCAAAACAGTATTTGCTGCTTCTCTGCCTATCAAACAACATTAGTAATAAAAGCAAAACTGGTTGACTAGGATTCAAAATAATGATTCAAATTTTTGTTACATTGTTAGCTTTCACATTAAAATTTTGACTTGGTGTGTTGACTGTTGGTCTTACCGGTCTAGTAAAAAACTTGAGTACAGTAAATTCAGAAATATTTGTGATGTTTTAAGTATTCTGAAACTTGCAATAGGATAGGTTTCACAGAAACTAAAACATTTTTGTTCAGAGTTCAACCATTGCAATAAATTGCAAAAATTTCTGAATTTACAGTATATTCCTATAACGTTAACATGATTGGTCGTGAATATGCAAGTAATACTTGAACCTGGATATTAATCGCCAATCAATCAATCAAACATTGCATGACATTCTATACTTCTTATTCTTAAGACAATGGAAAAAATTCCTCCATTTAGATTTAGTAAAAATACCTTGCATTTTTTGAAAAACATTTCTGAGAAAGCCCATATCTAAAATGTCGCGGAAGTAATGACGGATCACGGTTCCTCTTGATATCTTCTCTACAGAATATATACATTTTAACTTCAAAAGTATTAATTAGAAATGTTTGCAGATGAATTTTTTCTCACAAAATGTTTATATTTACTACAGGCCAAGAACACTTTATCATAGTTAAAGAGCCCTGTTATAGTATTAAGAATATAAGGGATAATTTAGTTCCAAGGCATTAAGACTGGTTCCATTTAACATTTGATGGTTGTGGTAGGGAAAAAAGAGCAAAAATTGCAGATAATAATAAAATGTACCACTTTTCAAGAAAAGAACATGTGAGGCACCACTTTCCTCACATTAGGAACTAAATTTACCCTATATTCTTTGAAATTGGACAGATATTTCTTGTGGTTTGAGAAACTTTAAACAATGCATGTTGATGTTTGCCTCAAGAATATAGTAAATGATACAAAAAATGTTTAAAAACAGGCATCCCCTGAATAACAATATGTATCAGCAAAAAAGTTTTTCATAGTCAAAATTTGATTTCTTCATTTATCAGAACATCTAAACATGGCTCTTTTCAGTATTTTCAGCAGTATTTTTTGAATGTATGAATGCAGCATGTATTTTTTATTTGCATCGTGTTTTGGCTTCGTTTTATTCTTGATGTTTTTATTTTGAATGCATATAACAGAAGCAAATGGCTACATTTGTTTTAGAGCTACAGAGATTTGCTTTTGTTGTTGTTTATTATTTTTGTTTACACCAGTTATAATTTGCATGTCCAGTTTAGCATATTTTTTATATTGTCAGAATATCACAGCTTCTTTTCACTAATATGCGTATATTACACTTCATTATGTACTGTTTATGAAAAATATTGGTGTCTTCATATTTTCTCCCAATCTTCTTTACTTTTGCATTTCTTGTTATCTTTGTTTCTTTTTTCGTGGTGGAACTTCTTTAATTTTGTTACTTTTGGGAAAACTTGGAATTTTTTCCTAATAAAATACTTACTCAAACAATATCCTATAACTAGTCAATAATAGCATGCAAATCTTTTTTTTTTTTTAAACAAAAGGACAAATTTGTAGAAAGATTTACCAAATTTATAATTCTTGAAATTTTGTATTTTATAACTAATTTTTTTCTAATTTTAAATAGACATTTTTTTATTGTAATCTTTTGAATTTATCTGTTTAAAAAAAAGAAAAGAAGAATATTGTTATCTATAGATGATTAAACAATTTGCTGATTTTATTTTACAGGAGAGGTTGCCAGTCTACAAAACTTACAGGGTTTGATGGCACTAGCCAATGCTAACAATCCAGGTAATTTAGTATAAATTAGATTGACCTTCAATTGGTATCATAAATGATTCGATACATCATTATTGAAAGAATTTTGTACCAAAGTTAGAAAAGGGAAAAATCTTTAATATTTCTTGCCATTTGACATGAATTTACAGCATACTCTAGTCTTTATTTCAATCTATACAAAGTTCTGTTTCTTCTACTACAAATACAAAAATATCGCATCTCATCTTATGTACCCATGGTGCTTCTGTAATTTTCTACTGTAAAAATATAAAACAAAAGGAAAGGAGATATGGCATTGTTAAAATTACTCTAGACCAAACCTACACATCTGAATGTTACCATATGATGTATAAATATAAGTAGGCACACAAACTGGATTTCTAGCTTAGAATTGTCCAATTCAGAAATGGTTATGCATTCTTATAACTGTTGGATGATTTACTGTAAATTCAGAAATTTTAAATGTGTTCATTTATTATTGTGATTTTTGAAGAATGGACAAAAATGCGTGATTAAGGAAAATTTGCATGCTGATGTATGTGTCAGATATCAAAATGTGAGTTCTTATTATTGCTATACTCACCCAGTCGCAATATTCGCATTAATAAAATCCTCGCAATAATTTCTGAATTTACAGTAATTTATTAAGATTTCATTTGAGAGTTAGTTTTGATGTTCAACACAATTTACGAGGGTCTTAGTCTGAATGGTTTCATCAACTCGAGTCGTCCAAGTTAATAGCTAAAATCATTAAAGGTACTTAGACAATTATATGATGTTTAATTTTGTACAATTTCAGGTGCTTTAAATGCTTTAGGTATACAAAGCCTGTCTGGATTGAGTGGTTCTGGTATGTCAAATAGCACAGGTGAGTTGGTGCTTTTTATAAGAATACAAAAGATGTGTGTTCTTTTCAGGAGAAATGATTTTCTGTCCTTATCCAGTGTCGGCCATCTATTATAGAGGTTATGTAAGAATTTTGCAGTATTTGCTGTCCCCTTTATTATATCCCATCTCAATAAAATTGCAGAGGGATGAAGTTTTTGACATGTCAGTCTCATCCATTGTCAGTAATTTGTTGCCAGAGTAGGGCCTTAATTTTTTGCATTGTTTACATGATAAAGTTTGTGATAAGGTCAGTTTAAGGGGAAACAAAAATGGTAAGACAGTGATATTTGGTATGCAGTCTTATAAGTAATGGCCAATCTGATTTCCATGCAGATTATTTAGCCCCACACCCTCAGCCAGTGTCAATTGACTTTGAAATTTTTGTATAGTTTACAAGTTGTAGTATTGTGGTTTAAATTTCAAGTTTTACATCATACTATCAAATGTCTTTAGTGTAGAAAGGATTGTCTTATAAGGATATTTCTGTCCTAGAAGGTATATTAGTGCAATCAAGAAAAATCAACCTTACTTTTGGGCAGACTATAATCGATTTATAATCAGTTCAATTTATTTTATTTTTATTTTCTCGTTTTATTTATCACCAACATGAAATTTACTGAAGACAATGAATACAATATATAAGTTCAAATAACCTAACTTAGACTTAATAAATTGATTATTGAAAACAAAATTATTAGCATCATTTAGCTTTTAAAGATGGATCATTGATCATCTTAGATAATCCTTATAGCAGACGCCATAAATTATATAATATGTCAAATTTAGCTAAAACAGTATTGATTTGAAACTGTTCTTTAATGTTAGGACTTAACAATAGAGGAAACAGCATAGGTGAGATTGCTAAATATAGTAGCTCCATAGTCTATATTGTAAAGTGTTGTCATGGTAACATAAAAAAAAAGATTTAGGCCAAAAGAACTAATTTTCAGGTTCAAAGTTATTAAATATATGATCAAATATTTTAGAAAATAGACCTGGTATTTCATGTTAAATATAAACCTTTTAATTCAATTGCAGAATAATTGACAAATTTTAAAAAAAATAATGACTAAACCATGTTTCAAATATTGAAGGTATTTGTTTGGCATTTGCATTGTTTTTGTGTAGTTCAGTGTAGTTATCTTAATCCAAGGTATTTAATTTTCAATCTTGATTTTGCATCAACTTTTACCAAAAATTCTCAGCTTCAAACAAAGCATGCTTTTGTAATGGAATTAATTTATGACCCATGAGAGAAAATCAGCATCAGATTAAATAAACAGAATTTCTTATAAGTGTCATGATATAAGTTAGCTACCTTTTAAAGCTTGTACTTGAAAAGATTTATAGTTGAATTTTTAATGGAAATAATTTTTTGGTGAAATTTTAGTGGCTGCCGGAAAAAAAATTGATTCAAATTAAAATAAAATTACATCCAAGATAGTGGAGTTTTAAGATATAGCCAATTGCAATATTCTTAATGTATGAAGTCAGAAAGACCAGATCAACTATAAGAAAGTATATAAAAAATGTCAAAATACACTAATGCATTGAAAGATTGGGTTCTGTGGATTCCACTCCCCTCTATAAATAGATCTTGAAGCCATTAAATTATACTAAAATTGTACATGAGAGAGCAATTACACTTTATTCGATTATATAGAAAGTCTTATAACAACAACACTTTATTCGATTATGATAAACATTGACTTTCCTATGTAGCTTTTGGACACAGACCAAATGGAAATATAGGTGAGACTTGGTTTGAGGATTAATTCAAAAACAGCACTTAACAATTTGTATTTTCACACTCCTGTTTTGACAGTTTCACTATTTGTCTCATACACTTGATATTGCTTTTAGCTGGTGCCCAATAGATTGTTCATTGCAATAACATGACTGGTATCCAGGTTTACTGCACCTTTATGATAAATTGATACTGGATCCCTGTTGCATTATTTTGTTGTTGGAGTGAATGATACAAATGGATGCCAGTTAGCTGCAATATTTAATATTTTTTTGGAATACGATGTGAACTTGTGAACACAAAACCAATTTGATTTTCATAATTATTTTGTTACATTGTTCTCCTTGACACTTTTTTAATTTGTAAAATTTGAACTCTGAAATGAGTATTTAAAAAAGTATTACACTTTGCAGTGACACATACACACAATTGGGTAGAGCTAATTGCTTGATTTTATGCTAAAATGGTACAGATAAGTTTTTAAAAAGTAATTAGTATCCATGTAAACTTAAATAGATGTCTGACCTTAAAAAAAAATTAAAAGAAGATTCTGAACAATGTCTTTTTATATTATATTTTTCTAGAAATATTTATAAATTTTGGAATACTTAAAATTGAATCAAATTTTATCCCTTGTCTTATATTATAGAACATTATTTCAAAATTTTATGATATATTAATTTTGCTGTACCAAAATTTTCAAGAATCAGATTAAAAACTTCATGTTTGATATTGTGAATTGGAATTGTCATAGATTGATTGGAAAAGAAATATGAGTTTTAAATAATGGGATTTGAACCCAGTAAAATTTTTCACATCATTATCGTTGATTCATTAAATATTTTTTTTTTTTTTTGCAGGATCATTAACAGGTACTACCACAACCTCATCATTGCCTGGCCTTGCCGCAAATTTACAGAGCCTAGGCAACAACAACATTAGTGCTACACATTTACAGAATGCTGTCAATGGCCTTGGTTCCACAAACCATTCAGGGATGGATACCATTAGCCAGGCTTACACAGGGATACAACAATATGCAGGTTTGTGTGGTTTACTCAGCCCAGGTAAAGGTTCGTTCATTTTACCTTGGATTTTTTCAGGAGTGACAGCTATAGGTGTTGCTTAGCATACAGTAACTACGCTACCATTCTGCACATGAGTCTACCAATTATTTTTTTGTCGGCTATTGCTGCATGATTAAATAATTTCTATTTTTTAATGAAATATTAGAACAGAGGATTTTACAATTCTGATATAAAAATAATTGGTTACTCATAATTACTTTGTTTTATCACTTCAAGGTGAGAGATGACATTGTTTTCCAGGAAGATGTTTTGCACAAACACTGAATTTTAATTAGATGTCATCTTAATATGCAGATATGAAATTAAAAAGACATCATATGAGCTGTGTCGGAAAGAAATCAACCTTATGCAAGTGCACTTATACATGTACATGTATAAGACTTTGATTGATTTTTGGACATTCAAATACGAGATAAAAGATGAATTTTGGTCTGTTTTGTAGGGTTCTTATAACAACTTATGGTCATGCTTATGGTCAATTTCTATCACACGCAGCTCATATCATATCTCCTTATTTTTAAAAGATAATTTTTTCGTATTCATCACTATAAATAGTTATTGAACTTAAACAAATATGTGACCTATAGTTGTTAATTTCTGTGTCATTTGGTCTCTAGTAGAGAGTTGTCTCATTTGCAATCGTACCACATCTTCTTATTTTTATATGTATGCTTTATATTCTTAATCATAATAAGGAGTATACATATCATGTGATCAGTACAATTACAATGTAGGTATTTACTGTCAACAGTGTTTCTCCAAATAATGCTGTGGTATTTTCTATAATGTGTCATTCTCAATTCTATTTAATATTTTTTGCAAAAAAAGGCAGAATCCAAAATTTATAAAATAATTTTTTTTTAGATTTAATCAAAGACACTCTGTACCATGTAAAAAAACGAATGAGAAACATTTGAAATTCTGTTCAATGTATAGGTAAAGAAAAAATTCAAAATGATGTATACGTTAAAATTAGAAAATTGCTCAAATTATATATATGATAGGGATTTGGATGTAACCACTTTGTGTCAATTAATATAATCATTACATTTAGAATTGAATGTCAGTAATTTGTGTAAATTATCACCTGAACACCTATAAGATGTACCTTTATTTTTGTTTGAGGAAACTCAAAAAATCATTGTCCTACTTTGATCAAAGTACATGTGGTATATGTTGTAGAAAAAAAAAAGAAGAAGATATTTCAATTCTTAATATTTTTTGTTGCTTTTAAATATTTAAAACTCTGAAATGTTTGTTATTTTTAGAAACAGTTCATTAGTGAAAACTTGGCACCAATTTTTCTAGGATGCATTACTTGAAATAGATTTTATGAACATCATGTTGAAGTTATTTCATAGTATGATCAGATTTATTCACAGACTTGTTTTCTCTTTTTACAGCAGCATTCCCAAATTCATTCAATACAACAACAGCACAGATCCAACAGAATTCTGCAGCTGGTAAACAATCAGAGGGTAAGGGCTGTTCCATTAAAACATACATGGGGGTTACTAAGGGCTGTTCCATTAAAACGTGTATGGGACCCATGTAAACAACTTCAATTTGCCACATTGGTTGGGTGTGATAATATTCAAGGTACCATTTTTCTGCACCAGATGCACATTTCAACAAAGTTTAAATGTATGCTGTTTGCCATGATTGCATTTATGGGTGGTAACTCTTATTTTTAAAGTACCTTCACTAGGTACCATGTATGTTTTAATGGAACAGCCCTAAGTGAAATATGTAAAAGCAAATATTTTCTATTGGTTTGCATTATTATTACTCAAGCAGATATTATAAAACCCTAACACAAAATGGAACCTTTCTCAAACAGGAAACCTGGAAAATTATTCCCTTCAAAATCGGTTTTCTCAAAATAATTTTTTTAGCCTGGTGGTGATAAGGACCACCACAACTCCAAATCTGGTAGTCCCAATGACTATTGTGTTGTCCTGTAGTTGCAGTTAAACTTCTGCTTTCAATTCTTTCCATAAATAAGGTATAAATTAGATTAGGCCAATTGTATATGGTTCAATATTAAATATTTATTTACTTATATGCATTGTGGTCAGGCCTTGCGGTCATAAAAATTTCGAGCACGATTATCATACTCAGACTCAGAAATCAATCAAAATGCTTGGTTTGGTATTTTCAAAAACACAAATTTTGTACTTAAAGTACTGAGTAAAGTTTTGTGACGGAGAGCCCATGAGTTGTACTTATTACCAGAAAGCCTATAAAAGAATAATACTACCTAAAACTTTTGTCTGACATCAGGACTAATACTACACTCAAAACTGGTGAAACTGTCTGATTTTTGGTGGTCAGGATCAACAGAACTGCCAGTTTTTGAAAAACACTGCAAATTCTAATTTCAGACACAAAACCACATAATTTTAACCCTACAGAAATTCTAGTTTCTAGAGTAGTTGCTTACTTTTACGTCATTTGGTCTCTTGTAGAGAGTTTTTTCATTGACAATCATACCACATCATCTTATTTTTATAAAACTTGTTATTTTGAAATGGTATTGATAGCAATCCACAGTAGTAGCTATGCATAATGGGTTAAATTACCCTAAAGATGTTCTATTGGAACCTCATAATTTGCTATAGATACAGGTTTTATCTATCAATCAAGGGCCTGTGAGGGGCATTGCTACATTTATACAATTATCATTGCTTAAACAATAAACATGTCATGAAAACAATATATTATCATGAGATATCATGTTAGGTTGACTAACTCAGAAATGAACAACATAAAAAATTCTGGTATTATAAGACAAAAGAATTTCAGATTATATTAATTTCAGTAAAAAGGTTGTTTAATCAATTATTTTAGATTGTTAGACATATTTCTTTATATTTGTAGGACCTGAAGGAGCCAACTTATTCATTTATCATTTACCACAAGAATTTACAGACAGTGATTTAATACAAACTTTTTCTCCTTTTGGGAGTGTGATCTCTGCTAAAGTGTTTATTGATAAACAGACAAATCTCAGCAAATGTTTTGGTAAGGATTTATCAATACATCTGGTGTCACAGAGTATTTTATGACAGTGAACATTTAGCAGATAAGCAAGTGTAATATTGATTATGACAATTTGTTTATGACCTGCATCTATAGTAAAGGGGCATTATGTTTTCTGGTCTGTGCATAAGTCTGTCTGTCCATCCCTTATCAGGTTAAAGATACTTCGTCTTTGCCATGAAGTTGTGGTCACATCAATTTGAAACTGGGTACACTGCGTCATGAGATACTTCGTCTTTGCCATGAAGTTGTGGTCACATCAATTTGAAACTTGGTACACTATGTCATGAGATACTTCGTCTTTGCCATGAAGTTGTGGTCACGTCAATTTGAAACTTGGTACACTACGTCATGAGATACTTCGTCTTTGCCATGAAGTTGTGGTCAAATCAATTTGAAACTTGGTACACTACATCATGTTCATAAAGAGGTGAACTTATTAAAAAGATATGCCAAAAGATTCTTGGTTTACAGAACTTGAAGTGTGATAGTGTGAGCAGAGAATGGTGTCCTTTGGACACATATTCTTGGGCTGTTTTTGTTTATGTTTTTTAAAACTTTTTGGTGAATTTAAGGTAAAAAATTTCACGATATCCTCTCAATAGCAGAGTTTATAATAAATTGATTAAAATATAAACAAAGATGAACAGCAGTGGCAGTTTTAAAAAAAAAGAAAACAACACTTTATAAATTTCATGCATCCAAAGTGCTTTTCTGGATTTACCTTCATCAGGAATGCTCAAAGCCAAACAGTCAAAACAGTTGAAGAGCTATATGACCAAAAAGGAACTAAAAATAATAGCCAAATCCATCTAAGGTCAACTTTTGTCTGAGGGAGTCGAAACCTTAGTTTCTAAATTTATTAACAGGCGATTTAAGAAATGTTAGTTATAAATCTTGTTATGACCAAAGTACTAACAAAAATAACTAGTTCTATATGTGAGATCTGGCATGTTGATGGGACCCAAAATACAAAGGTTTAGTTTAAATACTGGGCCATAACAAAAGCAACTTATCAAGAGCTACTGATAAGTGGCAAGAACAAGGAGTGGATATCACTGTAATCAGAATGATGAGATAAATGGGATGACATGTCTTGTTTCTCATTACTTAGCTATATAACATAATTAAATCTAGTTCTGAAGGTCTTGTCTACTGCAGGTTTTACCATGTGTTTTGAATGAATATGGTTGACAAAATATCATAAAAAACAAATTACATGTAGTAATTTACATAGAAGATGCAAAAACTTAAATTTGGTTATATGATAAGTTTCTGCTGGTCATGATAATAAATATGATTACATACAGTTTGGTGAATTAGATCAATGACAAATTCAATTAAAGATTATAAATTTGAAAATATTCTTTGAAAAGTATTTTTCCATTTGTTTCTTTTTTATTTGGAAGTATCAACATAATATGGTGATGCTTCCCTTAAAGTATTTGGGGAGTTAAAATATAGTGTCCAAGATGAAAAATAAAGCATGGGATTGAAGTTATAAAATTCAAGGAGAAAAGACAAGTAAAATAAATCATATTTGGCCTAATATAAGGACATTCATTTTTTAGGATTTGTTAGTTATGACAACCCAGTCTCAGCTCAGGCTGCCATACAAGCCATGAATGGGTTCCAGATTGGTATGAAAAGGCTGAAGGTTCAGTTAAAGCGCCCCAAAAATGATGGAAAACCTTACTGATATAGGCAATAATGTAAGTGTTCAAACATGCACACAAGATTGCATCTCAGGTTGGCATGATCAATTTCATATAACCTGCTTTTAAAGATAAAAAAATGTTATTGAAACAAATCGTTAAGTAAGGCATGGACTTAATACAAGGTTAAGCCAATTTAAACTTTGGATAATACTTCTTGAAAGAAAATAGTTTGAATATAGTGGGAAAAGAGAGGCAAAAGATACCAAAAGTTCATTGAAGGGAACACTTCACATGAGAAAATACCTAATTAACAGTCCTAATAACACATTTAGGCATGAATTATAGAGGAAATTGTTTTCAACACCAAAAGAAAAGTATTTTTTATCTTTTCTTCAAAATTGCAACAAATTGTCATAAATTTTGCACCCAGTAATGTTTTGGCCTTCTTTTTTTTAAACTCTAAATCCAATGATTAAAAATCAAAATTGCTTAGCCCTTAGCAGGTAAGTTACAGGTAGTAGCATTTTTGAATGATAAATATATGTTATCATGATCATTTTTGAAATGAATTTTAATGTGTTCATGCTTTTTCAAGAAGAATCAGAAGAACGTAATCCAGCACAAACAAGGAATAGACAAATGTTATCTGTTGTTGATTTGACTTTTCATTCATTGTTGTTTCTTGGGACTTTTCTGTTAAAACAAGCAAGCGATATAAAGAATAAATGTTAGAAAAATTATATCTTAAGAAGGAAATCACAGATACAGCATTAAGCAACCTTCAATCAATACATTTAAATTTTGATTTGAAAGAATCAAACTGAAGAAAATTTTCCTTGATGTGTTCTTGTTTTGTAAGAGGGCTGATCCATTATAACTTGATGGTACCTAGAGAAGGCATTTTAAAAAGAGATTACAATATATAGAGGCAATTTTGGAATTTTCTTACTTTTTCAATGTTACAAAATAGTCTGAAACATAGTTGAGATTTCCAAGTGACTTCCCAGGGTTCTATGTATGTTTTTGAAGGATCAGCCCTAAAAAGTTCTCTGCATAGTTGTGTATTTTTCTCAATGATTTTCATTTTAGTTTATTGAAGATTGATAATGTGAAAAATTTTGAACAGTAGACAAAAATAGTTTTTCTATTTCAACGTTTTTTTTTGTTAATGTTTCTGACTTTGGATTCAAAATATGAATGAAAAAATTACATAAAAATATCTAACAATATCTCTGCTTTCACAGTACTTTTATTTTGATGGAATATTTCATCATATCCTGAAAGCCACCGATTTGCAATTGAAGAAATTAATTAAGAATGGAAATCATTGAATAATTTATTACAGAGTTACCTAAAGAATGCATTGGATATGAGTTTGACCAACTATTGTATTATTTAGTACACAAAATAAGCTATACACAATCATAATCATGATGTTATGTGAAAATTGATCAATTGTTTGCATTTAGACAATGAAGATGCATGAAGTATCAGTGTATTCATGTGTACATGTTGTGGTGTGAATTATATGTTTACATGTCAGCTAGGAATGATTTCTGCTTTAAATTTTTCGAGCATTCTGTTTAATGTCAACACTCAGCATCTGCACTGTCACTTTGCTTTTAAGCTCACCTGAGCCAAGGTCCAAGGAAAGCTTTATTGAAGCTCACCTGGACCACGGTCCAGTGAAAGCTATTTCTATCATTTAGCATAGATTCTCTTCTGGTGACTTTTTACATTTTCATCTATATTTCTTAAATGACAAGACCAATTTAAACCAAACTGGGAATGAATAATATGAATATAGGCCTTATTATATTATGGTAGGGTGATAGACTTGTTAAAGTTGAAAACAAATGATATTGCTGGGGCCCATGAATTTGAAAATCACCAAATATAAATATAGTAAATAAAATTTGTAAACAAATCAGTAGTATGTCAGAACAGTAATGATAAATTTGCATTTTAAGTCTACACTTCTCGCATAGAAGGCAAAACTGCAAATACTGCCTCATTTCAAGATCTAATCATTTTAATATGTGTATGTGTTGGTCTGAAACATATAAATTAATAGGGATGTGGGGGTTATTTCAATAAGACAGCAACCCAAGAAAGAATCTAATAAATCCTGGAAAGACATAGATGTCAAAGTACAGTCTGCAACAGTGGACAAGTGCTTATAAAATATTAGATCTAATTGCCCAGACAGGTCGTTATTAAATGTGGTAGAAACAACCAACACCTGATTATCAAGTCTTAAAACATAAAAAAAGAAATAAAAATCCTGCAATGATTCCTAACTTTGAATAGACACATCAATTTGTGGCAGGATGTGAGTATTCAATCCCCGTGTTATCTGGTGCAGTGTGAAGGAAAATAAAAAAAAATTAGATGCAAACCAGGAAAACACATATAAATATTTTGGTAAATCACTAAATATTATACAATTCCAAACATGAAATACTATATTATGATAAAAAATATAAAATGCTTTCTGTTACTGAAAACATGGTGAAAGGTCTAAATCTCATTTAATTTAACTTTGTCAAAGAGAAAAATTATTTGGTTTATACTTAAAAAAAATCATCCATACAACAAAAAGCAAACAATGAATGCATACGTGGGAATTTGCTGTTAATCATCTTGACGATGAAAGTTATAGATCTCATTTAATTTAACTTTGTCAAACAGAAAAATTATTTGTTTTAAACTAATAAAAAAATAATATAATAAAAATGATATAGAAATATAACCATATGACAAAAAACAAATTGTGAATGCATACATGGGGAAACTGTTGTTAATCATCTTGACGATAATTTAGTGTCTGTTACGAACGATATTCAACTTAGCCAAAAGGTCTTCTTAATAATAAACAAAGTGAATATGTAAGAAACTGTTCCTTATCATAGAGTAATGGTCAAATTTACAAAGGACTAACAGATAGTTGGTTGATATGTGTCAAGTTCAGTTATAAAACTCTTCTTGAGGTAAATACAGAATTTTGAGGCAGTAAAGTTGTATCAAATCAGATGTAATGGTGAAATCTCTTTTTAAGTAGATTTGTGTAAACATGTTAAAAAGTAAGGAGAAGGTATAGGATATGATGTTCACAAGTTCATAAACATATCAAAATTGACATATTTGACCTAGAATGGCATTTTCACACATAATGTTTGGCAGAATTAGATCCCAGTTAAAGCCTTAACAAGAATATATCTTAATCACATTCTTGTATACCACATCTTGCAGCAAAATATCTTTTTGGGTAAGGATGTGACCCGTATCTAGATTTATCCTGCAATCAGCCAACTATTGGATGCAGGTACACAAATAAATTTTTGCTTTATTTGTACTTGATAAAGAGTCTGTTAAGCCGCTTTTATATTGAGGGAATGGTAATGTCAATATTTCTTTTTGTGTGACAGTTCATTTTGGAGTCCTCTTCGCAGTCCAAGTTTAAACTATGTTGATTTCTTTGAGAAATTAACAACAACTATTTTGATTTAAACAACTAAACCTAAAAGTGCTGGGTGTAAATTGCAGGATAAAAACATTATATGTACATTGTCTGAACTATACAATTTATTTAAACTTGCTACGAAACAGGAGAAAAGCTTGCAAGCCTCGCTTTCTGTCCTGTTTCTAAAGCTCATACAAATAAATAAGATATTTTCCAACAATATACATATATTGTATATATTAATGTCATGAGCTCAAAAATAGTTTTTGTAGTCTTGCATTATATGCAAAATGTTCGAAGCCACAAAGCATATTTGTAACAAAATTTAAAAAATATAAATACAATAACCTGATAAGCTGATGTCTTGTTGACATCCGAATTATTTTATTTGTAGATTTATAATACTTTTGTTTTATCCTTAATCTAAAAGGGGAAAAATGTGGGCTATCATACCTTCTCCTTAACAGTAGATAAATAATCGGATGTAACACAAAGTTGTAGTTCTAGTTGTGACAAACAGTATAGTGTTAGACTAATTTATTGGAGATTCAGTGGTCATACCATTTTGTTTCCATTCATTTTATAGTGTGGATTAGTATTCTGTGAAAATCGGTCCCACTAAAATTGAAAAGAAATTTTAAAGTGTATTTATTCATGGCACAACTAACAACTTTTGACAAGACTCGAGCCAAATGAAGAGCATTTTTATTGCTGTTGTTCATTCCGACACTGGGAATTTGATGCTAAGGTTCACACCTTATTGCATGATCAAAAGGGTCCATAGTGACAATTTTAGTATATTTCTTTGCTAGATGTTGATAATAGTGCTAAATAGAGTATAAATTAAAAAAAGTTGAATTTCATTATTTCGTAATTATGATTTGAATGTGAAACCTTTTAAATAAGAAAAAACAAAACTAGAACTACACCTCGTGTGATACAAATATATATATATATATATATATATGTGTAGCAATGCTTGGAAACTGTATTTTGAGTAAGCGTTGTCATTAAAGTGCTTTTGGTTGCACCAGAACAAAAATAAAATGGAGATTTTTTTTCAACTAAAATTTGATAATTATGTGCATCTTAAAAAAGTGAATACATTTTTCTTTGACTGATTAATGAACAGTAGTATATAAAAATTTGAAATACAGTTGCGAGTATTGTTAAGGATTTTCAGAAATCACAATTCATTGTGCTACAATAAGTTAATATGTCTGCTTCTCTCTGTAGATGACACAGTGGTGTTTCCTTTGTCAGTGACGTGATGTCCTTCATTTGTCCTTCACATCCTGTCTGAAAGTGTTTGCGTCATACAGAAATAACTTAAATCAAGACAATAAGATTTTGTTTTTGTTTTGTATAAAGGGTTCCTTCATATACCACTTATAATTTTCTTGTATCAAGTTTTAAAGTTTGTGTACTGTTTTAGTATTGTTTTAACGTTTACATAATTTTATTTTTTGTTAGTGATAAGCTTTACTGTCGAGTTAAATAAATTTAAGTTCATGAAATTTTAAGTGGTATATGAAGAGTTGTTACAGCATTTATGAAATATGAGCGTGTACAAAATTTTCAACCATATGGCTAAAATACTTATGTGTAATCAAGAAAATAAATGTATGTGTTATTTTATATACCAAAGATTATGTTATAATCAAAAGATTGTTTTTATTTTATTTTAATTGATATATTAAGTTATATCATTTGACCAATCGGTCATAAATTTATCGGTGCCATTTAATTTTTTCGTGATTTTAAGCAATTTGATACCAAAGTTATATTTTTTTATGTTACATACTCTGTTTGTGTAAGCAGCAAGTAGATTTTTTAAAGTCCAATTCTAGTAAAGTAAACTGAAGCCAGAGACCAATTTTAAGAGTCTTTCTTTAGGGTTAAGGTAGAGTTTTACTTCTAAGTATTCTCTACAAGTATGAAAAAGATTTAAACGTCTATGTATGTTTCTTGTGCTTGTTATTAAACATTTTTAAAATCTGAAAAACTTTTAACAGTTGTGATACTAATGTAAATATTTGTTTTTATTCTTCATTTCAAGTAGAGCAGCTAACTTCAGTTTTAAGAAATGTCTTTGTGAAAAAAATATATCTGTGTAGTCCTTTGTAGAAAAGTGAGAATGGCAGTGATAATCATTTGAGAACTTTTCAATTTGGATTATTTTTTAAAGCCAAACTAACACTAGGTATATATATAACTACAAACCTATTGCTTTTTTTTCTTCACTCATCTTTTCTTGATAATTGCTCAGCCATAATTGGAAAATCCATTTTAGTGTTATACAACTGTTTTGATTTTTTTTTAATTCATTTTTTTAGAATTTACTGAAAATTGGAATTAAATTTTATATCTGCTAGATAGTTTCACAAACTTTTATTTAAATTCTGGAAGGATCAGGATTGTCAAAGTTTACAGGATACAACATCTGAAATTATGTGTATATTTTGTCAGGATTGTTCATAATGGTAATAGCCATATTATTTATTTTTCATCCGATTCACTTGTATTTATATCATACTGTATCAGTTCAGAGGTTGTGGTCCATGTTTAAAAAAGCCATATGGTTGTTAATTTTAGATCCTTCATTGAATAAAAAAAGTTCTATTGAACTTTTATTATTTTTTTTTATCAAGAGTCATTGGAACTCATTTCATATCAATCAGGTTCTTTCTCAGAACCCATATCATACTTTATCAAGTTCATAATGCTTTGATGTTTTGTGAAACTTGATTAAATCACTAACATGTTTGTCAGTTATATATATAAATATATATGTGTATATAAACATGGTATATGTTTGCAGTGTGAAACATTTATCATTTAAAAATGGAGTTGTAATGTTAAATTTTGTTGATATTGTGTGAGTTAAAATCAAAAGATGTTGTTTATTATATATAATCTTGTTTTTTTGTGACTAATTACATGCACATGATAAAAAAATGGTTGTTTTGACACTTTATTTTTGTTTTAGGAAATATTTAGTCTCTTTATATATATCGTGAGTGTTGTGTTTGAAATTTCAAACTAAAAATACAATTATGGAATCTTGTAACATATGGATAGTAGCTGTAATGATCTTTGATTCATGAATTCAATATCAAATGCATTGAAAACTCCTTTCCAGGAGAAACAGAGAGACTAATAATAGATGAGACAAAAATAAATTTTAAAATCATTGAATCAGTCAGGGGCATTACTTAAACAAGTAACATTTAAAATTACCTGTACAAGTAATGTTGAAAACGAGGCTATTTTAAATATTACTTATATAAGTAACTTTTCTAAATATTATTTTTATAGGTGTCCAACTATGCATATTTTACTAGCTTTAACAAATTTTCACGGTCATCTGGTTATTTTTCCCATGATATATAAAATCTAATCTTTTTGAAACACTAATTGCCTTTCTGACGCACTTATCTTTCATATCAACGCTTTTGGGTCAAAGATTGGTTTCTTGGGACTATTAAAATATCATTTTCCTCAAAAATCTTGAAGGTAGACAGATATAAATAGATAGAAACTTGTGGATTAATTAAGACTTGAAGTTATTTATAATTTGTAACCAAAAACACTTACATATGTTCCTTAAATAAGTGGTATTACTAATTCTTTCAAAGATGTATAAAATAACTTATTCAAGTAATATTTTTGTCATTTTTACATCGCGATGACCTTGAGGTCATCCCGATATATTGCTATCGCCTAGATTTCCATTATGTAAATTAGTTTTGGGTTTGTAACCGATCTGATAAATACGCGCACATAAACGAGTGCAAAATAACATTCCTTATCGTTTGATATAAATACATCTCTTCAATGAATACTGATAAAAATATTTTTGTTTACAACATAAATTAATAATATGAAAATGTTTTGTAGTTAGATATATATATATATAAGTAAAAAATCATTGATAATATCAATGCACACGTACCGAAAAATTGTGTTAAAGCATGCGGAAGAATATCTCAAAGAACGTTTTGTGAAAATACCGTCAAGGACCGGTAACTCTGTAATTGATTTTGCGGGAAAATATGAATGCCTACTCGTATCCAATCTTAGAAAAATCGAATTTTTACAGAAAAGTGTCCACCATGCACTTGCATTGCACTATTTTTAGAATAGTAGAATAGAATGATATACAAATGGATTCAAATCATATATATATGTAACTGTTATTTTAATATAATATAAACAACAACTCAGTGTATACTGATTTGTATCACTACAATATAATAGTTATTACGGTGAAGTTGAAGTCATCATCCACGCACGAACTTGTCTCAGAAAAAAATATATCTCTGTACATTAACCTCAGTTTTAGGTAAAGAGATATGTTGTTTTTTTCTGAGACAAGTGCTTTTGACCATCCTCAAGAACTTGTGGTCATCCGATGTTCAGTACTTCAGTACTTTGATTTTTAAAGTAACCCTTTATCTCTATACTCCTCTAAAATCTAATAAATTCATCATTTTATGATATAAAATAATGTAAAAATTCATGAAAACTGCATTTAGTCCATGCTTCTATTGAAATTTAAAATAACTCTATTGAGTAATTTTATAATTTTTAAAAACAAAAATTACCTATGTAAGTAACTAAAAAAAATTACTTGTCTAAGTAATGCCCCTGACTGTGAATGTTAAATAATTTTAGAATGCAATCAAAATATTATTATGCAAATTTTTATGTTGATATTTATTTAACAAAAGTACAAAATGGTGACAATCTTGTTTTGAATACAATATTTTTTTAAGTGCCTTAGTGTGTTTTTCAATGTGATATTATGTAATTACTATGTTTTTAAACTTTTAAAGTTGAAATTCACAGTTATTATTTCAAACAAATTTTCAATTTATTATATTTAGTATAGATTTTATTGGTACTTAACCAACCCCTAAACAATTTTTTTAAAGCTTGTGGTTGACGCAGCAATCTAAACATAACTTTTCTTGTTTTTCAAATAAGACTGATATATAAATCAATTATGAAAAAAAAATGGGATATATACATCTATTTCATTTTATTTGGATATGTTTGTTCTATAAATATTCAAGAATCTTGTTTTAAAGAAATATTTAAAGTAAGATTACTAGAATAATTCAAAAGTTACAATAAGACTCCACTACATGTATTTAAAAAAAATAGCAACAGTGAACAGAATTCATTCAATAATGATAGTTGGTTTTTTTATCCTTAAAAGCTTACTGCATAATAGCCCTAAAAATGATAATTCTTCATTCTTTTCTATTGGAAACAAAACCTTTTGTTTTTTATCATAAAGTTAAAGCATATATCATTTTTATAATTTTCATGAATCAAAGAGCATCATAGCTGCTGGAATTTCTCAGGAATACATGTCGGATGTATTGTTGACCGTGTCGTTTGTAGTCTGTCCCAGACAGAGCTAGTTTTACCAGGGAGGAACCAATCAAAACAAGTCTTATTTTGTTCATGGTCAGTAGTTGAGATGCTTAAAGTGTGTCATTTCAAGTCTATTTTTAGCTTTAATTGAAAAGTAGTAATATTTAGTAACTGTTTTGTTGGCTTTAAATAAATGCACAGGCATATTTGTCCTTTTACATAATCAGTTATTACTCTAACAGGGACCACTTTGCAATATATGTAATCCTGAGTGCCAAACATTTACATTGTAGAATAGAATGGCTAATCATTTCAAAAGTCTTTATTTTCAAATTTTTCCAATGAAAAATATCATTTTTACACAATACAAGTACCTCTTCTTTTAGTAATCACTCCTTGTGTTAAAATCAGTTTAGTCTCCAACGACATAAAAAAATGTTAATGGGATAGAATAGGAAATAATGGGATAGAATAGGAAATCACAAAATTTTTATATTTAGCATTCCCAAGCTAACTCAAAAGCTTTCTTTCCTTTGTTATATCATAAATATTTTATTTAAAATTGTTCTATTTGTGATATCTGCCTTCTGGTTTTTGATTTTAAAACATTTGTATATTTATCATATTCCATTTAAGAATTCTCTGTTAGTCAGTTTGTTTGTGTTCCCTGGACTTGAAGTGGCACATTTGACCATATATATTAGTAATATTTTAAGTTTATCAAGAGTCTCAAGTTTTGTTTTGGTGTTTTTTTTTAACTTGGTTAGTTTTTGGTTGATTTTGTTGTATATTAATGTTTTTTTTTGTTTGCTCAGTTAATCAGTAAGATTGTATATGTATAATGCAAAGTTCAGTCCCTAAACAAGTTATAAATTAGGTTGCCAGGTCCACCATTTTTCTCATTTTCATATATTTCAAAAAATACTTATTAAAGTCATCTGGTACAGGTGTACAAGGCTTTTCATAAATTTTTATGCAATACTTGATAAATTGAAACTAACATGATGTGGATAAAGTGGATTGTATGATTGTCATTTGTAGTGTATCACAGTTGCAAAAAAGAAATATAAAATGAAAACTGCATACTATAGAAGGACAAGACAATATTCCAACCAACATCAATGATATATGAGATAAAGAAATCAGGAAAATGATGGATCTGGTTGTTAGATGTGACTTGGTAATTTTTTTTTAATGCACAATTTTATTATGTGATAAGCTGTTAGAGTTTTATTTAGGGTTGTTTAAAAAAAATAAATAAAATTATTGTTTTTATGAAAACTACATATCAAATGAGTCTTGTTAATATGTATATATAGATACTATTGTGCTCTTAACTAAGTAAATAAAAAAACAAGACCAGCGTTAAAAAGTGCTTTATTATGCTGAAATTGAATTTTAATCAATTTTACCAGTTACCATTTGCTGCTAGCTACCACCAATTTTGTTTATAAAACAGATAATCAACAAATACAGTATTTTAAAGTCCAATCATTAGATGGAGGACTTTTTTTGCAGACAGCTTTTACAGTTTTTATTTTTTAGTTGTGAACTTCAATTGAATCATTTTATTTTCATCACTTAACAAAATGATAAAATGCCTACCCTGAAACAAAAATGTAATCTACATTATATTAATTAATGGTTAATTGTCAATATATATATTATTTGGATCTAGTCTTAATTAACCATTTTAACTCCGATAAAGATAATCGATTTTAATTCACCTTTATTCTTAACTCTCTCTACTAGGAAAATGAAGTTTATTCAGTCATTTTTACAGGGTAATGATGTAGTTTGATAGGCAATCATGTGTTTATAATGTTATTAAACTTTATTTTAGATGGTTGAAAGGAAAACCAAATTATTTTATTTTTTATCATAAGTCAAGTACTGTTTCATGGCATTTTTTTATGATCTCAGTTGTAGAAGATGAAATGAAACCTAAATATGGCAGTACATTACCTTTGATACTATTTAAATATAACATCAGTCTGTTTTACGATCAGTTACAGTGCATGTGACTTTTATATATATTTTTTTTTGATGAAGCGTCTTCATTACATTATAGGGTAAACTTAAGCATAATTTCAGACCATAGAGTGCATTGTTGTTCAGTGTTAACTGTTGTTTATTGTGAAAAATGCTTAACACGAATATGCCTTGTTCCTTATGTGGTGTAACAACAATGTTGAATTGTTTTAAACTGTTGAAAAGTTTTACGTACAGTCATCCAACAGTT